AGCTTTTCAATTGTTCGTTTCCCTTTTAAAGGATAGACTTGAATCCGAACAAAATCCGAAACCTTTCAGCGAACATCGACTTCGATCGACTCCGCCATGTTTGCTTTTGGTTCCCAGTCCGGCTAGTAAGCCGCCAAAAAACGTCCGTTACACGAGCAAGATTTTCCCTACAAACAGTCATCTTATCGTTTGCAAAAGGATTGTATGAAGTCCTCCATGGACACAACCGGACTGCAAAGTGGAAACGCAAAGGCTGCTTGCGCTGGTTGCTTCTGCATTAAACGGTTTGCTGTTGGTATTAACCGGGAGTGGAGACTCAGGGGTGAATGCATTGAAACAGCACCAAAAATATAAATGTTAAAGGTTACCTGACATATTCTCTTCGTTGCGTGGAAACTCTTCGTCGGGCATGACAAGTTACAGTTGCAAATGGTGCCATGCCATGTGCGCTTTCAGCTCGAAACCGAAGAGACAATGAATCGTACGTTGTGTAAACTTCATGAGGTGTCCTGGGGGGTATGGCCTACAGGCACACCAATCACAAACAAGTATTACGCGTGCACCAATCAAAATCACACCAACAGTATTTTCAATTGACTACGGGTATTTCATCGGTATTACAGGGAAATTCCTCGTAAAGTCCTGACATTGGGAGTTAACAGCTGACGACGGCGAGGATAATGACTCGAGTGTTTTATATAATAAGCAAAACAAGAAGTTTGCAATCACACTTTTCTAGTACATTTCTTTGTCCTCTACAAACGAACAACGCGAAAATAGACCTCTTTAGCTTGTATGTTTTGTTTCTCCAATACAGGTCATGTGATAATAATCTCATTTACTTCCCGTTGCGGAAGTAAATGACTAGGAGCCAGGGCCGCAACCCACGTGACCAAGACCAGGTTTTATTACCCTGCGAGACTGAGCACCCCAACAACCTGGTCGAGGTCATTGTTATCTGAGGTCTTCCGCAACCCACGGCCTGGAGTTTTTTGCACCAGACCCTCTCGGTCAACAACCGCGCCGGCACGATGTTCAGTCGACTTGTGCCGCCCCGGGAAGTTACTGTTCAATTTATGGTGGATCTTCAAAAAACTATTCGTTACAGTACGAACATAGCCTAATATTGGCAGTGATCATTTAAGCCTAAATCAATTTACCTAAATAAGGCTTAAATAGATTTAAGGGAGTCTTTAATCGATTTAACTATATAGATTTAGAACGATTTATTTTAATTAAAAGTTATGTATTTTTATTTTAAAAATATATAATATGTCACTTTGCCATTATGTCAGCTGCTGCCTAAACATTTTGGATCAATATCAGCAGCTGGCCAAAGGGTGTTATATAAATTTAATCAATAAAAATGCATGTAAATTTACTTAGTTACGTATTTTTAATTATTAGATTTATATAACACCCTTTGGCCAGCTGCTGATAACTAAAATTGATCTTTAGGTTGCGCTGATCCCCAAAATTAACCGTAGGCTCTTAGCCAATAAGAAGACAGTTAGTGAGTGCAATGTACGATAAAAACAAATGTAATATCTGGGGGACAGTCACTGGTTAATAACCCTTTAATCCCCAATATCCAAATACCAATTTTCCACTGTCCATAAATTGCCTTATAAGATCAAAGCATTTCTCCTTTGGTGATCATTTTGTTAATTCTCCTAACCTTTTCTATTGATGATGTATTGATATAGTTGGGAGAAAATTGATGTTGGTCACACTTGGAACTTGAAGGGTTGAAGCAAAAATAGTGATTGAAAAGAAGAACCATGCATAATGTTGAAAACCCGGGCGACCCCCTTAAGAAAGTGATGGGAAAGTCTAAAAACCCCTAAAGGAGACCAATGTTGGTGTGGCTTACGCTTAAAACGACCACTAAAGGAGATTTTCGTGTTACGGCATTTTTGGTAAATTTCTTTATGCACAGCCCTAAGCGATACCTGAATTATGGGCAAATATAGTCACTTTTCGTGCCAAAACCTTACGTGAGACCAAGATCTGCAATTTACACCCCAAAGCAAGACGACGAGTATCCCAATCCATTTTTACATGGAAGATCCCCTTCCAGGGGGTTGAAAATTAACAAGTGTCAGTGTTGTGCTGATATTTTTTTAACTATACACAGTTTCCTGTGTATAGCAATTAGTAGTATAAATATATAACAAATTAAAGTGACAGGAACCTTAATTTGGAATCCTAATGTACCAGATTTATTTGATTGGCAAGAAAGAGTTTATGAAACGACTCAGTATAATGAGCTGACGAGATAGTAAAATTCTGAGTTATCAATTAGCTTCACTTGCTGAGAATTTGATATTTTCCGCTCATTCAATAGTGTACGTAAAATGTTTTCCAATACGATGAAGTTTTTTCTGCAAGCTATACTGTGCGCTGTTTTGGTAAAGGCTCTTTCAAATTCTCCGGCCCGTGCGAAAAGTGGCACTGATGGTAGAAAACCACAGTGTAATGTTAACAACTACTTTTATGCCGGATCAAATACCAAGAAGATCGAACAACAACTGGACGAAATCATGCAAGAAATCAAAGCTCTGAGAGAAAACCCAACCGACGGTGGTGGTTCTGGCGGAAAAGGTATCTGATGCTTCCGTAATCATTAATTTTGCTTTTTCTCTTTAGCAGTTGAGTTTTTGTACTGAGTGCATGTATTTATCCAGCCAAACTTTATTTTGGTTTTCGTCCTCGAGAAGAAATCATCGTAAAGCTTTACTTAAGCCTAGTTATTTCTCTTCTGTTTTCAGTTCACAAGAACTGTGCCGAAGTTTACCAGTTAGGTATAAAGATCAATGGAGTGTACAAAATCAATCCTGATGGTTTGGGCGAATTTGAAGTGTACTGTGATCAGAAAACTGCTGAGGTTGGACAGTGTTCCAGAAGAGGCAAGATGGCTCTGTGGATTTTTACCGCCCTTGGGATGACTACAAAAGGGGATTCGGGAATCTGAACGGCGAGTTTTGGCTCGGATTGGACAAGATTCATCGTCTAACTGTAAGCGGCAGTTACAAGCTTCGCGTGGACGTAGAAGATCTTCATGGCAGTACAGCATTTGCAGAGTACAGTTCATTTGCTGTGACAAGTGAAAGGGCGAAATACCAGTTGAGTTTGAGAAGTTACTCAGGTAAGTCTTGGAACCAACATTACCATACAGGGTGGCGCAGTGGTGAGAGCACTCGCTCCCACCAATGTGGCCCGGGTTCAAATCCCGGCGTCGACGCCATATGTGGGTTGAGTTTGTTGTTGGTTCTCCCCCTTGCAACGAAAGTGTTTTTTCTCCAGGTACTCCGGTTTTCCCTTCTCTTCAAAAATCAACACCTCATTTCAATTCGATCCGGGGCGCACGTACACGTTTTTAAAAACAAACTATTGTTTTACAATTACAGTTTTTTGAGCAGTTACAAATTTACTATCACCATCACTTCACTTAGACAACAGCAATACATCGAATTAACAACACTGCTCAAATCCTGCAAAGCAAGGTGAGTTAACGCATCTGATCGGAAACGCTGCTTTAATTGTTACCATTGTTGTTGAAGGTACCGCTGGAGATTCCCTTGGTGGTCATCGAGGACTTCCATTTACCACCAAAGATCGTGATAATGACAGCCACGAAAAAAATTGTGCCGTCCTTGGTAAAGGCGCATGGTGGTACAGCCGTTGCTTTTCTTCCAACCTGAATGGTTTGTACCTTCATGGAAAGGACAGTACTCAAGGAATGGCATGGTACACGTGGAAAAATAACTACTGTTCTGTCAAGAGATCCAACATGGAGATACGTCCAAAGGATTTTTGAGTTTCCAGTATACCGTATTTGTTAGTAAGACAACCATGTGTACAGGGGAATGGCATATGTGTAGTCGGGTGTAATGCTTTGAGGTGATTGCTTTAGATTTCAGTAACTGCTATCCCGCGCATTAACCTTACGAAAGGACATTTAGACAGAGTTAAGTAAGCTGTCTGAGGCCCAATGGTCAGTCATAAGTAGTTGATCTCGAGATAAAGCAAATTAATGACGAAGTGTTCTCCAGTGAAATTAGCCAAAAACCTGAGTAAAACAACCAACTAAAAGCAGGGGCGGATCTAGGGGGAGGGTGCAGGGGGTGCGCACCCCCCCCCCCCCTGAGATGACCTGCGGTTTTCTAATACAACTGGTATTCTGCAAAAAAACAAAAACTATGTGGTTTATTGGTGTTGAAGTAGAGCAAGAGACGAGTGCACCCCCCCCTAAAAAAAATCCTGGATCCGCCCCTGAAAAGGTAGTATTTCTAGTTTTGATATCTATCAATCCAGAAATGAAGATCATTCTATCTGCTGGGATGTCATAACAGTTTAAGACTACCGTCGTAGCTGTTTGTGTGACAAAAAAGGTTGAATAAAGTTATTAGACGTAAGTTGTGGGATTTGCGTTGAATTTCAAGGGATCAGAGTCTAACGACGGCTCCTCAGAGTAGGAGGGAAAATTTTTACACATAGTATGGGTGGGGTGGCCGAGGGAACCGCGCCCTGCGAGTTTTTCTGTTATTTTTAAAGAATTCTCAGTAAAATAAAAAGTATGTAAATCGCTGGCAAGTTTCCCGGCCTCCCCTTCTGAATTTTCCGCCAGCAGTTTTCTATGACCGTGTATATTCTAAGCTTGTAACATGACTTTGGTCTTGGAAACAATAAATGAGGGCTTCCTGGAGGACACTGTTTTGCAGTTACGCACTTCGTTTTGTTTTCTTATGGGAAGCTAATTCTATAAAACCTTGGAAAATATAAAAAAAACTGATTAAAATGACACGGAAGATTATAACGTACCCCTGAAGGAGACGAGTCCAGGAAGGTGTCAGGCCACATTTTAAGGGTAGTTGAGACGAGGTTATCAATTCGCACAAAATCAAAAAAATAATGCGTTACTCTGTAACGCATGAAATTGTTAAGTAGTTTAAAATTCAAGATGAGTAATGTATCTGACTTATAAATATTGACATGGCGCGACTGATGTGGCATATCTCTCTGTATACCAGTTATCAATTTACAATCCCACAAGTTCTCGATTAATTGCGATTAATAAACTGCAGCGGTTCATCTGTGATAAGAAACAAAACAGTGGTATTGAAATTTCTTACAATGACGAGTATTCCATTCAAAACTGCAATGAAAATAATATGTTCCCCTCTGTGTCATGTTAACATAGAAATCAGGAAATTCACTAAAAATAAGGACTGAATGTCCACGGGACTGACATAGTCTATGGCTTACTGAGAAGATTTAGAAGTCAGGAAATGTAAAAGACTGAAAATTAACAAAACTTGCCATTGTGTTTTGATTCCACTTGAATACAAAAGGTTTGCCTTTACAAATTGAATTATAATCACACCAAACACTGAACACCTGAAGTTGTAGTTACTCACGATCCCTCCGATGCGATTGGCGAAAAAAGTGATCGATCATAAAACACGGTCATTAATAAGCTAGCAAGAAAAATCCCGTTTTCAAAAGAGCATGAGCCGGACTGAAGAGGAAGTTTAAGAAAGTACTAAAGAGTTATCAACCATTGAGAATTTGATTCTTTCTTGAGTGCTAGACGTGATACTGAAATGGTCGAACACAATGAATTTTTTCCTCAAAGCTTTACTGTGCGCTTTTTTGGTGAAGGCCATTGCAAAATCAGCGGTCCCCACAAAAAGTGCTACTGATGCTAGAAAACCACAGTGTAACGTAAACAACTACTTTTATGCCGGACCGAATACTAAGAAGATCGAACAACAACTGGCCGAAATCAGAGAAGAAATCAAGGCGCTCAGAGAAAACCGAACTGGTGGTGGCGGTTCTAGCGGCAAAGGTATTTCTTTGAACATCCCTCTTTTCACTGTCTTTTAGCGCTCTGATCCTAGCGATTCAGTACTTTCTTTTAAGCGCGCTTATCGTCTGCAAACGATTGATCACTTGTGTTTCGGTTCACGGCTTAACAGCAGCCCTGAGGTTTTACGACTTAAACGGACTACTCGCTGATGGGCAAGCGAAGTACGCGCCAATGAGTGCGTATCGGTTCAACGAGGGCCGTTTTAAACTTTAGGATAAGTAAGTAAAGCCCACTATTCCATATCCACTGTGGAAAAGAAGAGCCCAAAACCATCAGCAAGAAAATAATAAGCTGTTCGTAAATTTGCGTATAAGTATCCAATAAGGTTGAGTATAGGACTGTCATATCATCATATCTCGACATATCACTAGTACAAATCTCGTGCGGAAATTCACTCGAATCCGAGTTTCATTTACAATTTTCCTTTTCCAGTAGTCGTAAGTGTCACACTGGTCGTTCTATTTTCAGTTTACAAGAACTGTGCCGAAATTTACCAGTTCGGTATAAAGATCAATGGAGTGTACAAAATCAATCCTGATGGTTTGGGCGAATTTGAAGTGTACTGTGATCAGAAAACTGCTGGCGGAGGTTGGACAGTGTTCCAGAAGAGGCAAGATGGCTCTGTGGATTTTTACCGCCCTTGGGATGACTACAAACGAGGCTTTGGTAATCTGAACGGCGAGTTTTGGCTCGGACTGGACAAGATTCATCGTCTGACTGTAAGCGGCAGTTACAAGCTTCGCGTGGACTTGGAAGATCTTCATGGCAGTACAGCATTTGCACAGTACAGTTCATTTGCTGTGACAAGTGAAAGGGCGAAATACCAATTGAGTTTGGGAAGCTATTCAGGTACGTTATGACACCCCTGTTTGTGATTTCAAGCCTAATAAATCGAACATGAAGCTCAAGACGAATTTTGGTCACGCACCATACACATATAAAATCTGAGTTTCAGGTCTTCTCACCTTCGTTCTTCCCTCCCCTTCGGTCCTCTTTACTAGAAAAGCCTCGGTGCCCTACCCGAGCTACATGCTATAATGCAATAAATTCGGCCGAACCTGCTGTGTCAGTATGAGAAAACAAGCGTTTTATAACTTCTATAGCTCGTAAAACTATTATCTAGATCATATTGAACAGATGATTACTTTGCTTGGACAGCAAACTGCTTAATCAAACAACTAGCAAGCAACTCAAATGAAAAACTAGGACGATATAATTCACGGTGTTGTTGTTGTCTGATCGTTTTTTTTAAGGTACCGCTGGAGATTCCCTTGCGTATCACAGAGGATATCCATTTACCACCAAAGATCATGACAATGACAGCAGCGGAAGCACTAACTGTGCCGTGACATGTAAAGGCGCCTGGTGGTACAATAATTGCCACTACTCCAACCTGAATGGTTTGTATCTTCACGGCAAGGTCAATGATCAAGGAATTTCGTGGTACCATTGGAAAAAAAACTACTACTCTGTGAAGAGATCTGAGATGAAGATACGTCCAAGGGATTTTTAAGATTCAATTATGTCGTTTCTGTCACTAAACCAACCATGTATACGAGGGACGTTAAATAGGGTGAAATCAGGTGTAATGCTGAAAGGGTACTTTGCTTTAAATCTTATTGAAAATTCGTATAAGTAACCACAAACTCATGATTGAAACTGGAAGATATAATCAAACTTCCCGCAACGATAGACTCTGTCCTATTTGTAACTCTGGTATAATTGAAGACGAATTTCATTTTCTCTTCCATTGTCCAAAATACTCAATCCCAAGGGAGAAATTCTACGATCAAATCCAACAAAATTTTGTCGATTTTGATCAGCTATCTTACACAGAATTAATAATTAAATTGATGAATTCACAGAATTTTTCCGTAAATTCACATTTGTTGAAATTTGTCTCATTATGTAATGATTTACGTAATAATTTGTTATCAAGTCATGCTGATGACACTTGATTGACTACAGTCATCATTGCATTATCATTGTTATGATTTGTTTGTTTGTTTGTTTGTTTTTTATATTAAAGCTTTTGCAATACTGTAACTACATAATTATAGTCATGCAAATAAAGCTTATGTTGTTGTTGTTGTTGTTAATCGCGCTAAGCCTTTAAAGACTATCAGATAGTGTTTGAAAATCTTATTTAGTTAACATTTGCGCAGGCTCAGTAAGCTCTACGTCGCACAAGGGTCCATCTAAGTTGAACCGTGAAAGTGGATGACGAAACTTTTCAGTGAAAACTACTGAGTGAAACAAATAACTACAGGCACTTCTGATCATTTCTTTCACTTTAAACTTGCGGATTGTGAGCAAGGTGTGCATTGCTTGATATCTACCAGTTCAGAAATGAAATTATCAAACTTATCAGCTAGAATAATATAAAACAGGTTGTAAGGCTACCGCAGAAAGGAAGTAATAAAGTTGTTACTAAGGTGTAGAATTTTGTGTGTGTGTGTCTGGCTAAGTTAAAGTAACATTCCGGTATTTCTTTGACTGTGTAATATGATTTAAAAACTGTTGTTTTAATAGTACGAGGAACATTAGGAGACTCGTAAGCCTCTAGTGTTTCCCGAAATTGGGTCTTACAGATAAAAATGACCTTTTAAAACACGAGACATCAATTTTTCGATAAACCAAAGGCCGAGGGATGACTTGAATGTTTGTACCAATGGTGCGTACAACAAACGCTAATCTTGAATACACAACAGCAGGATATATTTAATCCAAGCAATAAAGCAGTAGATAAAACTCAAAAAACAGTTATTTACAGCGTAAGTTGTACCCCCCAGCCTAAAACATCGATGTATTTGTTTCATAAACTATGTAGTTAACGGAAAGTTTTCCATTTATAATCTATCCTATATCAGCCATTTATGAAAATCCCGGTTGTTAAAGATGGATATTGCTATCAACCGGATAAATACCTAGCCAGTGGATAAGTATAGAGAAACCAATTGCACTAGCTATCCAGTGGATGGTAATTTATCTAATAAATCATGAGCGATATCCACCTTTTACTGAAAAACTGGCGCGAAAGAAAAATATATAAAAAAATTCCTCTTGGTTTGTTAAGGTGGTTTCCTTAACCTACCTTTTCAACTTTCTGGGTAAAATTTGGGAATACGATTCAAAAATTCCGATTTAGTTTTGACCCTATTTAAGCCACCGGAAACAATGTTCCAAGTGAAAAGAAGTTGTTCACTTGCAATTTCCACAGAAAATTGCCCAGCAATTTTTTAACCACTTTAATCTCTTCATATCATTTCCTCGGAGGCGATCGACGTAATTTGACTCCGGGTCAAATTTAGAATGAATTAAACCGATCAGGTGACGAATTTCAAACTATAAGTAACACGATACTCTTGATCATTTAACTGCTTTGAGCAACCATGATAACTTAACGCGAACACGTGACAGTCTCATTGATCTCACGCCCCGCACAGTTATCCGTCCCTGGTGCTTTACGCCTGAGTTGGTTATCACGTGGTAACTCGAGTTGAACTGGGATCTTTCACCTTGGTAACCCCCTCATATTTTACACGTGTTTAATTTTTTTCAATTCCATACCAATGTAGAGGGTTCTTTTTTGTTTTGTGAAGGAGTAACCATATTTGAAGGGAACAGGACGAGTGCTAGGGAGGAAGTACTCTTGGGTGAAAATCGAAACAAAAACGGCTGCGTATGAGACGAAGAAAGAAGTTTAATGTCTATGTGTTTGTAACGACAACTATCTCGACCTGAATGAATGGCAATTTACATGAACCAACATAATGTCCGCAAACTTGTCAGACTTTTGACCATGCAACCGCCTTTAATTGTTGGATGATAGAAGGTCATTTTGTGCTTGATTCGTGAGCAGATTCAATAAGTTTGACGACCAATAAACATTTCCAAGAGCTATCAAGGGAAGTGATATCTGTGGAGGGTACTCAGTCATTATGTATTTCCTTTTCCTCCCTAGTCTGCCACGCAGCCCATTTTTTTGTGTCGATCCTCGCGCAATACGACGACAGAAAAAAGAGCTGCATAGGAGACTACTTCGTCCCTACCTCTCCACTTGTCCCCTTCAATTATTGTTTCTCTTTCCAGACTAAATCAAACCCATGAATCGAATTCAGGAAAAATTTGAGCAAGTGTATAATATGAGGAGCCTTAAATCTTGATAATATACTAAAAATTGACACAGTTTTACTACCGAAACAGGTAGACTGTTTTTGTTTTTTCGGAGACGCGCGAAACAGTTGCCTCTGCAGAGAAACATTTTTGAATTAAGCTCACGTGATCTGTCCCTGACGCCTCAAATGTAAGCACACGTGATCGCATCCCTTCACATTCCTGAGAATTAAACGATGGCGGGCTTCTCCATAAACAAACGCCGCAATTCTTCATCAGGAATAAATTGTGAACACTCTAATTTATTCCTCACGATTCGCATGAGATCATCGAAGGTATAGACACCTTATTTTCGCCCGCTGTAATTAGTTCGCATCGATCCTCCGGAAAAGAAATATTATAAAACACTTTTAGCTGGATCATGTTGTATTACTAAACGAAAGCGGATAAGCTACGATAGACAGCCAAAACGCGAGCAAAGAAATGCGAAGGAATGTTATCACGTGCGTTTGCCTTTGGAGATAACATCTCTTTAGACACGTGACCAAAAACGATCACCTTTGTCGCTAACGGCAACTGTTACGTATGTCTGCGAGAAAACAGTCTACCTGTTTCGGTAGTATCCATTTAAGTTTCCTAGAATTCGTTTAAACCTCTGGTAAGAATTCATCCACATAAATTAAGGGTGGTGCACGGGTGTAGTCCATGGACGGGGTCTACGTGGACGTCCATGGACTAGGTCCACAGAGGTGGTCCATGGACCGGGGGTCCATATTCAAGGTCACCGTCAGCCACGCTTCCATTCATAACTGTAATATGGCCTATTCTCAGTATAATAGGAAGGTCTAAATCGCTGGCAAGTTTCCCGGCCTCCCCTTCTGATTTTTCTGGATCCACTCCTGCAGTTTTCTATGACCGTGTAAATTCTGAGCTTGTAACATGGCTTTAGCCGAGGAAACAACAAATGGGGGCTTCCTGGTGGACACTGTTTTGCAGTTAAGCACTTCGTTTTGTTTTCTTATGGGAAGCTAATTCTATAAAACCTTGGAAAAGATAAAAAAAACTGATTAAAATGACATGGAAGATTAGAAAGTACCCCTGAAGGAGACGAATCCAGGAAGGTCTCAGGCCACATTATAAATGTAGTTGAGACGAGGTTATCAATTCGCACAAAATCAAAAAGATAATGCGTTACTCTGTAACGCATGAAATTGTTAAGTAGTTTAAAATTCAAGATGAGTAATGACTCTGACTTATAAATATTAACATGGTGGCGACTGATGTGGCATATCTCTCTGTATACCAGTTATCAATTTACAATCGCACAAGTTCTCGATTAATTGCGATTAATAAACTGCAGCGGTTCATCTGTGATAAGAAACAAAACAGTGGTACTGAAATTTCTTACAATGACAAGTGTTTCATTCAAAACTGCAATGAAAATAATATGTCTCCGTCTGTCTTATGTTAACATAGAAATTAGGAAATTCATAAAATAAGGATTGAATGTCCACGGGACTGACATAGTCTATGGCTCACTGAGAAGATTTAGAAGTCAGGAAATGTAAAAGACTGAAAAATTAACAAAACTTGACATTGTGTTTTGATTCCACTTGAATACAAAAGGTTTGCCTTTACAAATTGAATTATAATCACACCAAACACTGAACACCTGATTTGTCGTTACTCACGATCCCTCCGATGTGATTGGCGAAAAAAAGTGATCATAAAACACGGTCATTAATTAACTCGCAAGAAAAAACCCGTTTTCAAAAGAGCATGAGCCGGACTGAAGAGGAAGTTTAAGAAAGTACTAAAGAGTTATCAACCGTTGAGAATTTGATTCTTTCTTGAGTGCTAGACGTGATACTGAAACGGTCGAACACAATGATTTTTTTCCTCAAAGCTCTACTGTGCGCTTTTTTGGTGAAGGCCATTGCAAAATCAGCGGTTCCCACAAAAAGTGGTACTGATGCTAGAAAACCACAGTGTAACGTGAACAACTACTTTTATGCCGGACCGAATACTAAGAAGATCGAACAACAACTGGCCCAAATCAGAGAAGAAATCAAGGCGCTCAAAGAAAACCGAACTGGTGGTGGCGGATCTAGCGGCAAAGGTATTTCTTTGAACATCCCTCTTTTCACTGTCTTGTAGCGCTCTGATCCTAGCGATTCAGTACTTTCTTTTAAGCGCGCTTATCGTCTGCAAACTATTGATCAGTTGTGTTTCGGTTCACGGCTTAACAGCAGCGCGGAAGTTTTACGACTTAAACGGCCTACTCGCTGATGGGCAAGCGAAGCAAGTGCCAATGTGTGCGTACATTCATCTTAAATTGGTCTTTATTAGCCTCGGTTCAACGAGGGTCGTTTTAAACTTTAGGATGAGTAAGTAAAGCCCACTATTTCATATCCACTGTCGAAAAGAAGAGCCCTAAACCATCAGCAAGATAATAATAAGCTGTTCATAAATTTGCGTATAAGTATCAGGCAATAAGTTTGAGTATAGGACTGTCATATCATCATATCACTAGTACAAGTGGCTCCTGCGGAAATTCACACGAATTCGAGTTTCATTTACAATTTTCCTTTTCCAGTAGTCGTAAGTGTTACACTGGTCGTTCTATTTTTAGTTTACAAGAACTGTGCCGAAATTTACCAGTTCGGTATAAAGATCAATGGAGTGTACAAAATCAATCCTGATGGTTTGGGCGAATTTGAAGTGTACTGTGATCAGAAAACTGCTGGCGGAGGTTGGACAGTGTTCCAGAAGAGGCAAGATGGCTCTGTGGATTTTTACCGCCCTTGGGATGACTACAAAAGGGAATTCGGGAATCTGAACGGCGAGTTTTGGCTCGGATTGGACAAGATTCATCGGCTGACTGTAAGCGGCAGTTACAAGCTTCGCGTGGACGTAGAAGATCTTCAAGGCAGTACAGCATTTGCAGAGTACAGCTCATTCGCCGTGACGAGCGAGAGGGTAAAATATAAACTAAGTTTGGGAAGCTATTCAGGTACTTTATGACACCCCGGTTTGTGATTTCAAGCCTAATAAATCGAACATGAAGCTCAAGACGAGTTTTGGTAAATACGCACCATGCAATGTAATTTGAGTTTGAGGCCTTCTCACCTTCGTTCTTCCCTCCCCTTCGGTCCTCTTTGCTAGAAAAGCCTCGGTGCCCTACCCGAGCTACATGCTATAATGCAATAAATTCGGCCGAACCTGCTGTATCAGTGTGAGAAAACAAGCGTTCTATAACTTCTATAGCTCGTTAAACTATTATCTAGATCATATTGAAGAGATGATTACTTTGCTTGGACAGCAAACCGCTTAATCAAACACCTTGCGAGCAACGCATATGAAAAACTAGGACGATTTAATTCACGGTGGTGTTGTTGTCTGATCGTTTTTTTAAGGTACTGCTGGAGATTCCCTTGCGTCTCACAGAGGATATCCATTTACCACCAAAGATCGTGATAATGACAGCGACAGTGGTAACTGTGCAGTGAAATATAAAGGCGCCTGGTGGTACAATAGTTGCTACAACTCCAACCTGAATGGTTTGTATCTGCACGGCAAGGTCAACGATCAAGGAATGGTGTGGTACCATTGGAAAAAAAACAACTACTCTGTGAAGAAATCTGAGATGAAGATACGTCCAAAGGATTTTTAAGATTCAATTACGTCGTTTCTTTCGGTAAACCAACCATGTATACGAGGGACGTTAAATAGAGTGTAATCAGGTGTAATGCTGAAAGGGTACTTTGCTTTAAACGTTATTGTAATCGCGCTGAGCTTTTACAGACTATCAGATAGTGTTTGAAAATCTCATTTAGTTAACAGTTACGAAGGCTCAGTAAGCTCTACGTTGCACAAGGGTCCATCTAAGTTGAACCGTGAAAGTGGATGACGAAACTTTTCCGTGAAAACCACTGAGTGAAACAAATAACTACAGGCACTTCTGATCATTTCCTTCACTTTAAACTTGCGGATTGTGAGAAAGGTGTGCATTGCTTGATATCTATCAGTTCAGAAATGAAATTATCAAACTTATCAGCTAGAATAATATAAAACAGGTTGTAAGGCTACCGCAAAAAGGGAGTAATAAAGTTGTTACTAAGATGTAGAATTTTGTGTGTGTGTTGCTAAGTTAAAGTAACATTCCGGTATTTCTTTGACTGTGTAACATGTTTTAAAAACTGTAGTTTTAACAGTACGAGGAGCATTAGGAGACTCGTAAGCCTCTAGTGTTTCCCGAAATTGGGTCTTACAGATAAAAATCATGATCTTTTAAAACACGTGACATCAATTTTTCGAAAAACCAAAGGCCGAGGGATGACTTGAATGTTTGTACCAATGGGGTGTACAACAAACGCATATCTTGAATACACAATAGCAGCGTATATTTAATCCAACCAATAAAGCAGTAGATAAAACTGGAAAAACAGTTATTTACAGCGTAGGTTGTACCCCCCGCCTAAAACATCGATGTATTTGTTTCATAAACTGTGTAGTTAACGGAAAGTTTTCCATTTATAAACCATCCTATATCAGCCATTTCTGAAAATCCTGGTTGTTCAAGATGGATATTGCTATCAACCAGCTAAGTATAGAGAAACCAATTGCGCTAGCTATCCAGTGGTTAAGGTGGTTTCTTTAACCTTACTTTTCAACTTTCTTCGTGGAATTTGAGAATACGATTCAAAAATTCCGATTTAGTTTTGACCCTATTTAAGCCACCGAAAACAATGTTCCAAGTGAAAAGAAGTTGTTGACTTGCAATTTCCACAGAAAATTGCCCAGCAATTTTTTAACCACTTTAATTTCTTCATATCATTTCCTCGGAGGCGATCGACGTAATTGGACTCCAGGTCAAATTACAACTGAATTAAACCGATCAGGTGACGAATTACAAACTATAAGTAACATGATACTCATTTAACTGCTTTGAGCAACCATGATAACTTAACGCGAACACGTGAGAGACTCATTGATCTCACGCCCCGCACAGTTATCCGTCCCTGGTGCTTTATGCCTGTGTTGGCTATCCTGTGGTAACTCGAGTTGAACTGGGATCTGTTAGGTTGTTACCTTGGTAACCCCCTTATTTTGTTTAATTTTTTTTTCAATTCCATACCAATGTAATGGGTTCGTTTTCGTGTGGTGAAGGAGTAACCATATTTGAAGGCCAACAGGAGGAGCCGCTAGGGAGGAAGAGGAAGTAATCTCTCTGGTGTATGCAGCTTTTTTTCGTCTTCACGTTGCGTGAAAATCGAAAGAAAGATGACTGCGTATGAGACGAAGAAAGAAGTTTAATGTCTATGTGTTTGTAACGACAACAATCGCGACCTGAATGAATGGCAATTTACATGAACCAACATAATGTCCGTAAACTTGTCAGACTTTTGACCATGCAACCGCCTTTAATTGTTGGATGATTTGCAGATCATTTTGTGCTTGATTCGTGAGCAGATTCAATAAGTTTGCCGACCAATAAACATTTCCAAGAGCTATCAAGGGAAGTCATATCTGGGGAGGGTACTCAGTCATTATGTATTTCCTTTTCCTCCCTAGTCTGCCACGCAGCCCATTTTTTGAGTCGATCCTCGCGCAATACGACGACAGAAAAAAGAGCTGCATAGGAGACTACTTCCTCCGTACCTCTCCACTTGTCCCCTTTAATTATTGTTTCTCTTTTCAGAATAAATCAAACCCATGAATCGAATTCAGGAAAAATTTGAGCAAGTGTATAATATGAGGAGCCTTAAATCCTGATAATATACTAAAAATTGACACAGTTTGATCCATTTAAGGTTGCTACAATTTGTTTAAACCTCTGGTAAAAATTCATCCACATAAATTAAGGGTGGTCCACGGGTGTAGTCCATGGACCGGGTCCACGTGGAGGTCCATGAACTAGGTCCACAGAGGTGGTCCATGGACCGGGGGTCCATATTCAAGGTCACCGTCAGCCTCGCTTCCATTCATAACTGTAATATGGCCTATTCCCAGTATAATAGGAAGGTCTAAATCGCTGGCAAGTTTCCCGGCCTCCCCTTCTGAATTTTCTGGATCCACTCCTGCAGTTTTCTATGACCGTGTAAATTCTGAGCTTGTAACATGGTTTTAGCCTAGGAAACAATAAATGAGGGCTTCCTGGTGGACACTGTTTTGCAGTTAAGCACTTCGCTTTGTTTTCTTATAGAAAGCTAATTCTATAAAAATATCAAAAAACTGATTAAAATGACATGGAAGATTAGAACGTATCCCTGAAGGAGACGAGTCCAGGAACGTCTCAGGCCACATTTTAAGGGTAGTAGAGACGAGGTTATCAATTCGCACAAAATCAACAAGATAATGCGTTACTCTGTAACGCCTGAAATTGTAAGTAGTTTAAAATTCAACATGAGTAATGACTCTGACTTACAAATATTGACATGGCGGCGACTGATGTGGCATATATCTCTGCATACCAGTTGTCAATTTACAATCGCACAAGTTCTCGATTAATTGCGATTAATAAACTGCAGCGGTTCATCTGTGATAAGAAACAAAACAGTGGTACTGAAATTTCTTACAATGACGAGTGTTTCATTCAAAACTGCAATGAAAATAATATGTTCCCCTCTGTGTCATGTTAACATAGAAATCAGGAAATTCATAAAATACGGATTGAATGTCCACGGGACTGACATAGTCTATGGCTCACTGGAAAGATTTGGAAGTCAGGAAATTTAAAAGACTGAAAAATTAACAAAACTTGACATTGTGTTTTGATTCCGCTTGAATACAAGAGGTTTGCCTTTACAAATTGAATTATATTCACACCAAACACTGGACAACTGATTTGTCGTTACTCACGATCCCTCCGATGTGATTGGCGAAAAAAAGTGATCATAAAACACGGTCATTAATAAGCTAGCGAGAAAAAACCCGTTTTCAAAAGAGCATGAGCCGGACTGAACAGGAAGTTTAAGAAAGTACTAAAGAGTTATCAACCATTGAGAATTTGATTCTTTCTTGAGTGCTAGACGTGATACTGAAACGGTCGAACACAATGAATTTTTTCCTCAAAGCTCTACTGTGCGCTTTTTTGGTGAAGGCCATTGCAAAATCAGCGGTTCCCACAAAAAGTGGTACTGATGCTAGAAAACCACAGTGTAACGTAAACAACTACTTTTATGCCGGACCGAATACTAAGAAGATCGAACAACAACTGGCTGAAATCAGAGACGAAATCAAGGCCCTCAAAGAAAACCGAACTGGTGGTGGCGGTTCTAGCGGCAAAGGTATTTCTTTGAACATCCTTCTTTTCACTGTCTTTTAGCGCTCTGATCCTAGCGATTCAGTACTTTCTTTTAAGCGCGCTTATCGTCTCCAAACGATTGATCAGTTGTGTTTCGGTTCACGGCTTAATAACAGCAGCCTGGAGGTTTTACGACTTAAACGGCCCACTCGCTGATGGGCAAGCGAAGCAAGTGCCAATGAGTGCGTACATTCATCTTAAATTGGTCTTTATTAGCCCCGGTTCAACGAGGGTCGTTTTAAACTTTAGGATGAGTAAGTAAAGCTCACTATTCCATATCCACAGTCGAAAAGAAGAGCCCTAAACCATCAGCAAGAGAATAATAAGCTGTTCATAAATTTACGTATAAGCGTCAGGCAATAAGTTTGAATATAGGACTCTCATATCATCATATCACTAGTACAAGTGGCTCCTGCGGAAATTCACTCGAATCCGAGTTTCATTTATAATTTTCCTTTTCCAGTAGTCGTAAGTGTTACACTGGTCGTTCTATTTTCAGTTTACAAGAACTGTGCCGAAATTTACCAGTTCGGTATAAAGATCAATGGAGTGTACAAAATCAATCCTGATGGTTTGGGCGAATTTGAAGTGTACTGTGATCAGAAAACTGCTGGCGGAGGTTGGACAGTGTTCCAGAAGAGGCAAGATGGCTCTGTGGATTTTTACCGCCCTTGGGATGACTGCAAAAGGGGATTCGGGAATCTGAACGGCGAGTTTTGGCTTGGACTGGACAAAATTCATCGTCTGACTGTAAGCGGCAGTTACAAGCTTCGCGTGGACGTAGAAGATCTTCATGGCAGTACAGCATTTGCACAGTACAGTTCATTTGCTGTGACAAGTGAAAGGGCGAAATACCAATTGAGTTTGGGAAGCTATTCAGGTACGTTATGACACCCCGGTTTGTGATTTCAAGCCTAATAAATTGAACATGAAGCTCAAGACGAGTTTTGGTTAATACGCACCATAAACATATAAAATCCGAGTTTGAGGTCTTCTCACCTTCGTTCTTCCCTCCCCTTCAGTCCTCTTTACTAGAAAAGCCTCGGTGCCCTACCCGAGCTACATGCTATAATGCAATAAATTCGGCCGAACCTGCTGTGTCAGTATGAGAAAACAAGCGTTTTATAACTTCTATAGCTCGTAAAACTATTATCTAGGTCATATTGCACAGATGATTACTTTGCTTGGACAGCAAACTGCTTAATCAAACAACTAGCAAGCAACTCATTTGAAAAACTAGAACGATATAATTCACGGTGTTGTTGTTGTCTGATCGTTTTTTTAAGGTACCGCTGGAGATTCCCTCGCGTATCACAGAGGATATCCATTTACCACCAAAGATCATGACAATGACAGCAGCGGAAGCACTAACTGTGCCGTGACATGTAAAGGCGCCTGGTGGTACAATAATTGCCACTACTCCAACCTGAATGGTTTGTATCTTCACGGCAAGGTCAATGATCAAGGAATTTCGTGGTACCATTGGAAAAAAAACTACTACTCTGTGAAGAGATCTGAGATGAAGATACGTCCAAAGGATTTTTAAGATTCAATGATGTCGTTTCTTTTGGTAAACCAACCATGTATACGAGGGACGTTAAATAGGGTGTAATGAGGTGTAATGCTGAAAGGGTACTTTGCTTTAAATCTTATTGTAATCGCGCTAAGCTTTTAAAGACTATCAGATTGTGTTTGAAAATCTTATTTAGTTAACATTTACGAAGGCTCAGTAAGCTCTACGTCGCACAAGGGTCCATCTAAGTTGAACCGTGAAAGCGGATGACGAACCTTTTCAGTGAAAACTACTGAGTGAAACAAATAACTACAGGCACTTCTGATCATTTCTTTCACTTTTAACTTGCGGATTGTGAGAAAGGTGTGCATTGCTTGATATCTATCAGTTCAGAAATGAAATTATCAAACTTATCTGCTAGAATAATGTAAAACGGGTTGTAAGGCTACCGCAGAAAAGGAGTAATAAAGTCATGTTCCTAAGGTGTAGAATTTTGTGTGTGTGTGTGTGCGGGTAAGTTAAAGCAACATTCAGGTATTTCTTTGACTGTGTAACATTATTTTAACTGTTTGTTTTAATAGTCCAAGGAGCATTAGGAGACTCGTAAGCCTCTAGTGTTTCCCGAAATTGGGTCCTACAGATAAAAATCATGACCTTTTAAAACACGAGACATCAATTTTTCGATAAACCAAAGGCCGAGGGATGACTTGAATGTTTGTACCAATGGTGCGTACAACAAACTCTAATCTTGAAGACACAATAGTAGGATATATTTAATCCAACCAATAAAGGTGTAGATAAAACGCCAAAAACGGTTATTTACAGTGTAAGTTGTACTTCCCCCCGCCCAAAACATAGGTGGATTTGTTTCATAAACTATGTAGTTAACGGAAAGTTTTCCATTTATAAGTGAACCATCCTATATCAGCCATTTATGAAAATCCTGGTTGTCCCAGATGGATATTGCTATCAACCGGATAAATACCTAGCCAGTGGATAAGTATAGAGAAACCAGTTGCGCTAGCTATCCAGTGGATGGTAATTTATCTAATAAATAGCGCTGTCAGAATTTTACTGAAAAACTGGCGCGAAAGAAAAATATATAAAAAAATTCCCCTTGGTTTGTTAAGGTGGTTCCCTTAACCTACCTTTTCAACTTTCTGGGTAAAATTTGGGAATACGATTCAAAAATTCCGATTTAGTTTTGACCCTATTTAGGCCACTGAAAACAATGTTACAAGTGAAAAGAAGTTGTTCATTTGCAATTTCCACAGAAAATTGCCCAGCAATTTTTTAACCACTTTAATTTCTTCATATCATTTATTTCCTCGGAGGCGATCGACGTAATTTGACTCCAGGTCAAATTTAGAATGAATTAAACCGATCAGGTGATGAATTACAAACTATAAGTAACACGACACTCATTTAACTACTTTGAGCAACCATGATAACTTAACGCGAACACGTGACAGACTCATTGATCTCACGCTCTGTACAGTTATCCCTCCCTGGTGCTTTACACCTGTGTTGGTTATCACGTGGTAACTCGAGTTGATCTGGGATCTGTTACCTTGGTAACCTCCTCATATTTTACACTTTTTTAATATCAATGTAATATATTTGAAGGGAACAAGACGAGTGCTAGGGAGGAAGTAGTCTTGCGTTAAAATTGAAACAAAAACGGCTGCGTATGAGACGAAGAAAGAAATTTAATGTCTATGTGTTTGTAACGACAACAATCTCGACCTGAATGAATGGCAATTTACATGATCCAACATAGTGTCCGCAAACTTGTCAGACTTTTGGCCATGCAACCGCCTTTAATTGTTTGATGATATGCAGGTCTTTTTGTGCTTGATTGGTGAGCAGATTCAATAAGTTTGCCGACCAATAAACATTTCCAAGAGCTATCAAGGGAAGTGATATCTGGGGAGGGTACTCAGTCATTATTGATGTATATCCTTTTCCTCCCTAGTCTGCCACGCAGCCCATTTTTTGTGTCGATCCTCGCGCAATACGACGACAGAAAAAAGAGCTGCATATGAGACTACTTTCTCCCTACCTCTCCACTTGTCCCTTTAAATTATTGTTTCTCTTTCCAGACTAAATCAAACCCATGAATCGAATTCAGGAAAAATTTGAGCAAGTGTATAATATGAGGAGCCTTAAATCCTGATAATATACTAAAAATTGATATAGTTTTATCCATTTAAGGCCCCTAGAATTCGTTTAAACCTCTGGTAAAAATTCATCTACAGAAATTAAGGGTGGTCCACGGGGGTAGTCCATGGACCCGGTCCACGTGGAGGTCCATGGACTAGGTCCACAGAGGTGGTCCATGGACCGGGGGTCCATATTCAAGGTCACCGTCAGCCTCGCTTCCATTCATATCTGTAAAATGGCCTATTCTCAGTATAATAGGAAGGTCTAAATCGCTGGCAAGTTTCCCGGTCTCCCCTTCTGAATTTTCTGGATCCACCCCTGCAGTTTTCTATGACGGTGAGCATGTAACATGACTTTGGCCTAGGAAACAATAAATGAGGGCTTCCTGGTGAACAATTTTTTGTAAGTACAAGCACTTCGTTTTGTTTTTTTATGGGAAGCTAATCCTGTAAAACATTGGAAAAGATCTAAAAAACTGGTTAAAATGACATGGAAGATTAGAACGTAACCCTGAAGGAGACGAGTCCAGGAACGTCTCAGGCCACATTTTAAGGGTAGTAGAGACGAGGTTATCAATTCGCACAAAATCAACAAGATAATGCGTTACTCTGTAACGCATGAAATTGTAAGTAGTTTAAAATTCAACATGAGTAATGACTCTGACCTATAAATATTGACATGGTGGCGACTGACGTGGCATACCTCTCTGTATACCAGTTATCAATTTACAATCACACAAGTTCTCGATTAATTGCGATTAATAAACTGCAGCGGTTCATCTGTGATAAGAAACAAAACAGTGGTATTGAAATTTCTTACAATGACGAGTGTTTCATTCAAAACTCCAATGAAAATGTCCCCCTCTGTGTCATGTTAACATAGAAATTAGAAAATTCATAAAATAAGGATTAAATGTCCACGGGACTGACATAGTCTATGGCTCACTGAGAAAATTTAGAAGTCAGGAAATGTCAAAGACTGAAAAATTAACAAAACTTGACATTGTGTTTTGATTCCACTTAAATACAAAAGGTTTGCTTTACAAATAGAATTATAATCACACCAAACACTGGACAACTGATTTGTCGTTACTCACGATCCCTCCGATGTGATTGGCGAAAAAAAGTGATCATAAAACACCGTCATTAATTAACTAGCGAGAAAAAACCCGTTTTCAAAAGAGCATGAGCCGGACTGAACAGGAAGTTTAAGAAAGTACCAAAGAGTTATCGGCCATTGAGAATTTGATTCTTTCTTGAGTGTTAGACGTGATACTGAAACGGTCGAACGCAATGAATTTTTTCCTCAAAGCTTTACTGTGCGCTTTTTTGGTGAAGGCCATTGCAAAATCAGCGGTCCCCACAAAAAGTGGCACTGATGGTAGAAAACCACAGTGTAACGTAAACAACTACTTTTATGCCGGACCGAATACTAAGAAGATCGAACAACAACTGGCCGAAATCAGAGAAGAAATCAAGGCGCTCAAAGAAAACCGAACTGGTGGTGACGGATCTAGCGGCAAAGGTATTTCTTTGAACATCCCTCTTTTCACTGTCTTGTAGCGCTCTGATCCTAGCGATTCAGTACTTTCTTTTAAGCGCGCTTATCGTCTGCAAACGATTGATCAGTTGTGTTTCGGTTCACGGCTTAACAGCAGCGCGGAGGTTTTACGACTTAAACGGCCTACTCGCTGATGGGCAAGCGAAGCAAGTGCCAATGTGTGCGTACATTCATCTTAAATTGGTCTATATTAGCCTCGGTTCAACGAGGGTCGTTTTAAACTTTAGGATGAGTAAGTAAAGCCCACTATTTCATATCCACTGTCGAAAAGAAGAGCCCTAAACCATCAGCAAGAGAATAATAAGCTGTTCATAAATTTGCGTATAAGTGTCAGGCAATAAGTTTGAGTATAGGACTCTCATATCATCATATCACTAGTACAAGTGGCTCCTGCGGAAATTCACACGAATTCGAGTTTCATTTACAATTTTCCTTTTCCAGTAGTCGTAAGTGTTACACTGGTCGTTCTATTTTTAGTTTACAAGAACTGTGCCGAAATTTACCAGTTCGGTATAAAGATCAATGGAGTGTACAAAATCAATCCTGATGGTTTGGGCGAATTTGAAGTGTACTGTGATCAGAAAACTGCTGGCGGAGGTTGGACAGTGTTCCAGAAGAGGCAAGATGGCTCTGTGGATTTTTACCGCCCTTGGGATGACTACAAAAGGGGATTCGGGAATCTGAACGGCGAGTTTTGGCTCGGATTGGACAAGATTCATCGTCTGACTGTAAGCGGCAGTTACAAGCTTCGCGTGGACGTAGAAGATCTTCAAGGCAGTACAGCATTTGCAGAGTACAGCTCATTTGCCGTGACGAGCGAGAGGGTAAAATATAAACTAAGTTTGGGAAGCTATTCAGGTACGTTATGACACCCCGGTTTGTGATTTCAAGCCTAATAAATCGAACATGAAGCTCAAGACGAGTTTTGGTAAATACGCACCATGCAATGTAATTTGAGTTTGAGGTCTTCTCACCTTCGTTCTTCCCTCCCCTTCGGTCCTCTTTGCTAGAAAAGCCTCGGTGCCCTACCCGAGCTACATGCTATAATGCAATAAATTCGGCCGAACCTGCTGTATCAGTATGAGAAAACAAGCGTTTTATAACTTCTATAGCTGGTAAAACTATTATCTAGATCATATTGAAGAGATGATTACTTTGCTTGGACAGCAAACCGCTTAATCAAACACCTTGCGAGCAACGCATATGAAAAACTAGGACGATTTAATTCACGGTGGTGTTGTTGTCTGATCGTTTTTTTAAGGTACCGCAGGAGATTCGCTTGCGTCTCACAGAGGATATCCATTTACCACCAAAGATCGTGATAATGACAGCGACAGTGGTAACTGTGCACTGAAATATAAAGGCGCCTGGTGGTACAATAGTTGCTACAACTCCAACATGAATGGTTTGTATCTTCACGGCAAGGTCAACGATCAAGGAATGGTGTGGTACCATTGGAAAAAAAACAACTACTCTGTGAAGAGATCTGAGATGAAGATACGTCCAAAGGATTTTTAAGATTCAATGATGTCGTTTCTTTCGGTAAACCAACCATGTATACGAGGGACGTTAAATAGCGTGTAATCAGGTGTAATGCTGAAAGGGTACTTTGCTTTAAATCTTATTGTAATCGCGCTAAGCTTTTAAAGACTATCAGATAGTGTTTGAAAATCTTATTTAGTTAACATTTACGAAGGCTCAGTAAGCTCTACGTCGCACAAGGGTCCATCTAAGTTGAACCGTGAAAGTGGATGACGAAACTTTTCAGTGAAAACTACTGAGTGAAACAAATAACTACAGGCACTTCTGATCATTTCTTTCACTTTTAACTTGCGGATTGTGAGAAAGGTGTGCATTGCTTGATATCTATCAGTTCAGAAATGAAATTATCAAACTTATCTGCTAGAATAATGTAAAACGGGTTGTAAGGCTACCCCAGAAAGGGAGTAATAAAGTTGTCACTAAGGTGTAGAATTTTGTGTGTGTGTGTGTGTGGCTAAGTTAAAGTAACATTCAGGTATTTCTTTGACTGTGTAACATGATTTAAAAACTGCAGTTTTAATAGAACGAGGAGCATTAGGAGACTCGTAAGCCTCTAGTGTTTCCCGGAAGTGGTTCTTACAGATAAAAATGACCTTTTAGAACACGTGACATCAATTTTGTCGAAAAACCAAAGGCCGAGGGATGACTTGAATGTTTGTACCAATAGTGTGTACAACAAACGCAAATCTTGAATACACAATAGCAGCGTATATTTAATCCAACCAATAAAGCGTACAATTACAGCGTAAGTTGTACCCCCCGCCTAAAACATCGATGTATTTGTTTAATAAACTATGTAGTTAACGGAAAGTTTTCCATTTATAAACCATCCTATATCAGCCATTTCTGAAAAACCTGGTTGTTCAAGATGGATATTGCTATCAACCAGATAAGTATAGAGAAACCAATTGCGCTAGCTATCCAGTGGTTAAGGTGGATTCTTTAACATTACTTTTCAACTTTCTTCGTGGAATTTGAGAATACGATTCAAAAATTCCGATTTAGTTTTGACCCTATTTAAGCCACCGAAAACAATGTTCCAAGTGAAAAGAAGTTGTTGACTTGCAATTTCCACAGAAAATTGCCCAGCAATTTTTTAACCACTTTAATTTCTTCATATCATTTCCTCGGAGGCGATCGAGGTAATTTGACTCCAGGTCAAATTACAACTGAATTAAACCGATCAGGTGACGAATTACAAACTATAAGTAACATGATACTCATTTAACTGCTTTGAGCAACCATGATAACTTAACGCGAACACGTGAGAGACTCATTGATCTCACGCCCCGCACAGTTATCCGTCCCTGGTGCTTTATGCCTGTGTTGGCTATCCTGTGGTAACTCGAGTTGAACTGGGATCTGTTAGGTTGTTACCTTGGTAATCCCCTTATTTTGTTTAATTTTTTTCAATACCACACCAATGTAATGGGTTCGTTTTCGTGTGGTGAAGGAGTAACCATATTTGAAGGCCAACAGGAGGAGCCGCTAGGGAGGAAGAGGAAGTAATCTCTCTGGTGTATGCAGCTTTTTTTCGTCTTCACGTTGCGTGAAAATCGAAAGAAAGACGACTGCGTATGAGACGAAGAAAGAAGTTTAATGTCTATGTGTTTGTAACGACAACAATCGCGACCTGAATGAATGACAATTTACATGAACCAACATAATGTCCGTAAACTTGTCAGACTTTTGACCATGCAACCGCCTTTAATTGTTGGATGATATGCAGATCATTTTGTGCTTGATTCGTGAGCAGATTCAATACGTTTGCCGACCAATAAACATTTCCAAGAGCTATTAAGGGAAGTGATATCTGTGGAGGGTACTCCGTCATTATGTATTTCCTTTTCCTCCCTAGTCTGCCACGCAGCCCATTTTTTGTGTCGATCCTCGCGCAATACGACGACAGAAAAAAGAGCTGCATAGGAGACTACTTCCTCCCTACCTCTCCATCTGTCCCCTTCAATTATTGTTTCTCTTTCCAGATTAAATCAAACCCATGAATCGAATTCAGGAAAAATTTGAGCAAGTGTATAATATGAGGAGCCTTAAATCCTGATAATATACTAAAAATTGACACAGTTTTATCCATTTAAGGTTCCTAGAATTCGTTTAAACCTCTGGTAAAAATTCATCCACATAAATTAAGGGTGGTCCACGGGGGTAGTCCATGGACCGGGTCCACGTGGAGGTCCTTGAACTAGGTCCACAGAGGTGGTCCATGGACCGGGGGTCCATATTCAAGGTCACCGTCAGCCTCGCTTCCATTCATAACTGTAATATGGCCTATTCTCAGTATAATAGGAAGGGCTAAATCGCTGGCAAGTTTCCCGGCCTCCCCTTCTGAATTTCCTGGATCCACCCCTGCAGTTTTCTATGACGGTGAGCATGTAACATGACTTTGGCCTAGGAAACAATAAATGAGGGCTCCCTGGTGAACAATTTTTTGTAATTATAAGCACTTCGTTTTGTTTTCTTATGGGAAGCTAATCCTGTAAAACATTGGAAAAGATCTAAAAAACTGGTTAAAATGACATGGAAGATTAGAACGTACCCCTGAAGGAGACGAGTCCAGGAACGTCTCAGGCCACATTTTAAGGGTAGTAGAGACGAGGTTATCAATTCGCACAAAATAAACAAGATAATGCGTTACTCTGTAACGCATGAAATTGTAAGTAGTTTAAAATTCAACATGAGTAATGACTCTGATTTATAAATATTCACATGGCGGAGACTGATGTGGCATATATCTCTGTACACCAGTTATCAATTTACAATTGCACAAGTTCTCGATTAATTGCGATTAATAAACTGCAGCGGTTCATCTGTGACAAGAAACAAAACAGTGGTATTGGAATTTCTTACAACAGCGAGTGTTTGATTCAAAACTGCGATGAAAATAGTATGTCTCCGTCTGTGTTTTGTTAACATAGAAATTGGAAAATTCAAAAAATAAGGATTAAATGTCCACGGGACTGACATAGTCTATAGCTCACTGGGAAGATTTGGAAGTCAAGAAATGTAAAAGACTGAAAAATTATCAAAACTTGACATTGTGTTTTGATTCCACTTGAATACAAAAGTTTTTCGTTACAAATTGAATTATAATCACACCAAACACTAACACCTGATTTGTCGTTACTCACGATCCCTCCGATGTGATTGGCGAAAAAAAGTGATCATAAAACACGGTCATTAATTAACTAGCGAGAAAAAACCCGTTTTCAAAAGAGCATGAGCCGGACTGAAGAGGAAGTTTAAGAAAGTACTAAAGAGTTATCAACCATTGAGAATTTGATTCTTTCTTGAGTGCTAGACGTGATACTGAAACGGTCGAACACAATGAATTTTTTCCTCAAAGCTCTACTGTGCGCTATTTTGGTGAAGGCCATTGCAAAATCAGCGGTCCCCAGAAAAAGTGGTACTGATGCTAGAAAACCACAGTGTATCGTAAACAACTACTTTTATGCCGGACCGAATACTAAGAAGATCGAACAACAACTGGCCCAAATCAGAGAAGAAATCAAGGCGCTCAAAGAAAACCGGACTGGTGGTGGCGGTTCTAGCGTCAAAGGTATTTCTTTAAACATCCCTCTTTTGACTGTCTTTTAGCGCTCTGATCCTAGCGATTCAGTACTTTCTTTTAAGCGCGCTTATCGTCTGCAAACGATTGATCACCTGTGTTTCGGTTCACGGCTTAATAACAGCAGCCCGGAGGTTTTACGACTTAAACGGCCTACTCGCTGATGGGCAAGCGAAGCAAGTGCATGCCAATGAGTGCGTACATTCATCTTAAATTGGTCTATATTAGCCCCGGTTCAACGAGGGTCGTTTTAAACTTTAGGATGAGTAAGTAAAGCCCACTATTCCATATCCACTGTGGAAAAGAAGAGCCCAAAACCATCAGCAAGAGAATAATAAGCTGTTCATAAATTTGCGTATAAGTGTCAGGCAATAAGTTTGAGTATAGGACTCTCATATCATCATATCACTAGTACAAGTGGCTCCTGCGGTAATTCACACGAATCCGATTTTCATTTACAATTTTCCTTTTCCAGTAGTCGTAAGCCTTACACTCGCCGTTCTAATTTCAGTTTACAAGAACTGTGCCGAAATTTATAAGTTCGGTATAAGGATCAATGGAGTGTACAAAATCAATCCTGATGGTTTGGGCGAATTTGAAGTGTACTGTGATCAGAAAACTGCTGGCGGAGGTTGGACAGTGTTCCAGAAGAGGCAAGATGGCTCTGTGGACTTTAACCGCCCTTGGGATGACTACAAACGAGGCTTTGGTAATCTAAACGGCGAGTTTTGGCTGGGACTGGACAAGATTCATCGTCTGACTGTAAGCGGCAGTTACAAGCTTCGCGTGGACTTGGAAGATCTTCATAGCAGTACAGCATTTGCACAGTACAGTTCATTTGCTGTGACAAGTGAAAGGACGAAATACCAATTGAGTTTGGGAAGTTACTCAGGTACGTTATGACACCCCCGGTTTGTGATTTCAAGCCTAATAAATCGAACATGAAGCTCAAGACGAGTTTTGGTAAATACGCACCATGCAATTGGAATCTGAGTTTGAGGCCTTCTCACCTTCGTTCTCCTCGCCCCCCCCCCCTTCAGTCTTCTTTACTAGAAAAGCCTCGGTGCCCTACCCAAGCTACACGCTATAACGCAATTAATTCGGCCGAACCTGCTGTGTCAGTATGAGAAAACAAGCGTTTTATAACTTCTATAGCTCGTAAAACTATTATCTAGATCATATTGAGCAGATGATTACTTTGGTTGGACAGCAAACCGCTTCATCAAACACCTTGCGAGCAACTCATATGAAAAACTAGGACGATATAATTCACGGTGTTGTTGTTGTCTGGTACCGCTGGAGATTCCCTTGCGTATCACAGAGGATATCCATTTACCACCAAAGATCGTGACAATGACGGCCACGGAAGTATTAACTGTGCCGTCCTTCGTAAAGGCGCCTGGTGGTACAATAGTTGCCATTACTCCAACCTGAATGGTTTGTATCTTCACGGCAAGGTCAATAATCAAGGAGTGGTGTGGCACCATTGGAAAAAAAAACGACTACTCTGTGAAGAGATCTGAGATGAAGATACGTCCCAGGGATTTTTAAGATTTAATTATGTCGTTTCTTTCGGTAAAAAAAACCATGTATACGAGGGACGTTAAATAGCGTGTAATCAGGGGTAATTCTGAAAGGGTACTTTGCTTTAAATCTTATTGTGATCGCGCTAAGCTTTTAAAGACTATCAGATAGTGTTTGAAAATCTCATTTAGTTAACATTTACGAAGGCTCAGTAAGCTCTACGTCGCACAAGGGTCCATCTAAGGCGAACCGTGAAAGTGGATGACGAAACTTTTTCAGTGAAAACCACTGAGTAAAACAAATAACTACAGGCACTTCTGATCATTTCTTTCACTTTAAACTTGCGGATTGTGAGAAAGGTGTGCATTGCTTGATATCTATCAGTTCAGAAATGAAATTATCGAACTTACCTGATTAATATACATGATATAAAACAGGTTGTAAGGCTACCGCAGAAAGGGAGTAATAAAGTTGTTCCTAAGGTGTAGAATTTTGTGTGTGTCTGTGTGTGTGTGTGTGGCTAAGTTAAAGTAACATTCCGGCATTTCTTTGACTGTGTAACATGATTTAAAAACTGTAGTTTTAATAGTACGAGGAGCATTTGGAGACTCGTAAGCCTCTAGTGTTTCCCGAAATTGGGTGTTATAGAGAAAAATCATGACCTTTTAAGACACGTGACATCAATTTTGTCGAAAAACCAAAGGCCGAGGGATGACTTGAATTTTGTACCAACGGTGTGTACAACAAACGCAAACCTTGAATACACATTAGCAGGATATATTTAATCCAAGCAATAAAGCAGTAGATAAAACTCGAAAAACAGTTATTTACAGCGTAAGTTGTACTCCCCCGCGCCCAAAACGTAGGTGGATTTGTTTCATAAACTATGTAGTTAACGGAAAGTTTTCCATTTATAAGTGAACCATCCTATATCAGCCATTTATGAAAACCCCGGTTGTTCAAGATGGATATTGCTATCAACCGAATAAATACCTAGCCAGTGGATAAGTATAGATCGAGAAACCAATTGCGCTAGCTATCCAGTGGATGGTAATTTATCTAATAAATCATGAGCGCTATCCAGCCTTTTACTGAATAACTGGCGCGAAAGAATATATAAAAAAAATAACTCTTGGGTTGTTAAGGTGGTTTCTTTAACCTTCCTTTTCAACTTTCTGGGTGAACTTTGAGAATACGACTCAAAAATTCCGATTTAGTTTTGACCCTATTTAAGCCACCGAAAACAATGTTCCAAGTGAAAAGAAGTTGTTCACTTGCAATTTCCACAGAAAATTACCCAGCAATTTTTTAACCACTTTAATTTCTTCATATCATTTCCTCGGTACTCATTTAACTGCTTCGAGCAACCATGATAACTTAACGCGAACACGTGACAGACTCATTGATCTCACGCCCTGTACAGTTATCCCTCCCCGGTGCTTTACGCCTGTGTTGGTTATCACGTGGTAACTCGAGCTGAACTGGGATCTGTTACCTTGGTAACCCCCTCATATTTTACACTTGTTTAATTTTTTTCAATTCCATACCAATGTAGTGGGTTCGTTTTTTTTTTTTGCAGGAGTAACCATATTTGAAGGGAACAGGACGAGTGCTAGGGAGGAAGTAGTCTGGCGTGAAAATCGACACAAAAACGGCTGCGTATGAGTCGAAGAAAGAAGTTTAATGTCTGTGTGTTTGTAACGACAACAATCTCGACCTGAATGAATGGCAATTTACATGAACCAACATAATGTCCGCAAACTCGTCAGACTTTTGACCAACCGCCTTTAATTGTTTGATGATATGAAGGTCATTTTGTACTTGATTCGTGAGCAGATTCAATAAGTTTGCTGACCAATAAACATTTCCAAGAGCTATCCATTTAAGGTTCCTAGAATTCGTTTAAACCTCTGGTAAAAATTCATCCACGTAAATTAAGGGTGGTCCACGGGTGTAGTCCATGGACCGGGCCCACGTGGAGGTCCATGGACTACGTCCACAGAGGTGGTCCATGGACCGGGGGTCCATATTCAAGGTCACCGTCAGCCTCGCTTCCATTCATAACTAAAATATGGCCTATTCTCAGTATAATAGGAAGGTCTAAATCGCTGGCAAGTTTCCCGGCCTCCCCTTCTGAATTTCCTGGATCCACCCCTGCAGTTTTCTATGACCGTGTAAATTCTGAGCTTGTAACATGGCTTTAGCCTCGCAAACAATAAATGAGGGCTTCCTGGTGGACATTGTTTTGCAGTTAAGCACTTCGTTTTGTTTTCCTCTGGAAAGCTAATTCTATAAAACCTTGGAAAGATCTAAAAACGGATTAAAATAACATAGAAGATTACTGAGAAGGAGAATGCTGTATTAACAGCATCCCTGAAGGAGACTAATCCAGGAAGGTCTCAGGCCACATTATAAATGCAGTAGAGACCAGGTTATCAATTCGCACAAAATCAACAAGATAATGCGTTACTCTGTAACGCATGAAATTGTAAGCAGTTTAAAATTCAAGATGAGTAATGTATCTGACTTATAAATATTGACATGGCGCGACTGATGTGGCATACCTCTCTGTATACCAGTTATCAATTTACAATCGCACAAGTTCTCGATTAATCGCGATTAATAAACTGCAGCGGTTCATCTGTGATAAGAAAGAAAACAGTGGTATTGAAATTTCTTACAATGACGAGTGTTTCATTCAAAACTGCAACGAATATAATATGTTCCCCTCTGTGTCATGTTCAAACATAGAAATCAGGAAATTCATAAAATAAGGATTAAATGTCCACGGGACTGACATAGTCTATGGCTCACTGGAAAGATTTGGAGGTCAGGAAATGTAAAAGACTGAAAAATTAACAAAACAATTACATTGTGTTTTGATTCCACTTGACAATCACATTAAACACTAACACCTGATTTGTCGTTACTCACGATCCTTCCGATGTGATTGGCGAAAAAAAGTGATCATAAAACACGGTCATTAATAAGCTAGCGAGAAAAAACCCGTTTTCAAAAGAGCATGAGCCGGACTGAAGAGGAAGTTTAAGAAAGTACTAAAAAGTTATCAACCGTTGAGAATTTGATTCTTTCTTGAGTGCTAGACGTGAAACTGAAACGGTCGAACGCAATGAATTTTTTCCTCAAAGCTTTACTGTGCGCTATTTTGGTGAAGGCCATTGCAGAATCAGCGGTCCCCACAAAAAGTGGCACTGATGCTAGAAAACCACAGTGTAACGTAAACAACTACTTTTATGCCGGCCCGAATACTAAGAAGATCGAACAACAACTGGCCGAAATCAGAGAAGAAATCAAGGCCCTCAAAGAAAACCGAACTGGTGGTGGCGGTTCTAGCGGCAAAGGTATTTCTTTGAACATCCCTCTTTTGACTGTCTTTTAGCGCTCTGATCCTAGCGATTCAGTACTTTCTTTTAAGCGCGCTTATCGTCTGCAAAAGACACAAAAGTGTTTCGGTTCACGGCTTAACAGCAGCCCGGAGGTTTTACGACTTAAACGGCCTACTCGCTGATGGGCAAGCGAAGTACGTGCCAATGAGTGCGTACATTCATCTTATATTGGTCTATATTAGCCTCGGTTCAACGAGGGTCGTTTTAAACTTTAGGATGAGTAAGTAAAGCCCACTATTTCATATCCACTGTGGAAAAGAAGAACCCAAAACCATCAGCAAGAAAATAGTAAGCTGTTCATAAATTTGCGTATAAGTATCCAATAAGGTTGAATATAGGACTGTCATATCATCATATCACTAGTACAAGTCTCGTGCGGAAATTCACACGAATCTTTCCAGTAGTCGTAAGCGTTACACTGGCCGTTCTATTTTCAGTTTACAAGAACTGTGCCGAAATTTACCAGTTCGGTATAAAGATCAATGGAGTGTACAAAATCAATCCTGACGGCTTGGGCGAATTTGAAGTGTACTGTGATCAGAAAACTGCTGGCGGAGGTTGGACAGTGTTCCAGAAGAGGCAAGATGGCTCTGTGGATTTTTACCGCCCTTGGGATGACTACAAAAGGGGATTCGGGAATCTGAACGGCGAGTTTTGGCTGGGACTGGACAAGATTCATCGTCTGACTGTAAGCGGCAGTTACAAGCTTCGCGTGGACTTGGAAGACGTGCAAGGAAAAACAGCATTTGCAGAGTACAGTTCATTCGCTGTGAGGAGCGAGAGGGTGAAATATAAACTAAGTTTGGGAAGCTATTCAGGTACGTTATGACACCCCGGTTTGTGATTTCAAGCTTAATAAATCGAACATGAAGCTCTAGACGAGTTTTGGTAAATGCGCACCATACAATGTAATCTGAGTTTGAGGCCTTCTCACCTTCGTTCTTCCCCCAAACCCCCCACCTTCAGTCTTGTTTACTAGAAAAGCCTAGGTGCCCTACCCAAGCTGCATGTTATAATGCAATTAATTCGGCCGAACCTGCTGTATCAGTATGAGAAAACAAGCGTTTTATAACTTCTATAGCTCGTAAAACTATTATCTAGATCATATTGAACAGATGATTACTTTGCTTGGACAGCAAACCGCTTAATCAAACACCTTGCGAGCAACTCATAAAAAACTAGGACGATATAATTCACGGTGTTGTTGTTGTTGTCTGATCGTTTTTTTAAGGTACCGCTGGAGATGCCCTTGATGCTCACAGAGGATATCCATTTACCACCAAAGATCGTGATAATGACAGCAACAGTGGTAACTGTGCCGTGCAATATAAAGGCGCCTGGTGGTACAAAAATTGCCACTACTCCAACCTGAATGGTCTGTACCTTCATGGAAAGAACAATTGTCAAGGAATTGTATGGTACCAATGGAAAAATAACTGCAATTCTCTGAAGAGATCTGAGATGAAGATACGTCCAAAGGATTTTTAAGATTCAATTAAGATTGTTTCTGTCAGTAAAAACCACGAAAACAAGTAACATTAAAAGCGTGTAATCAGGTGTTAAATTGCAAGGGTGATATTTGCTTTAAATTTTATTGTTATTGCGCTGAACTTTAAACAGACATGAAAAAAAAAAAAAAAAAAACAGATAGTCTCATTAAGTGAATATTTACCGATGAACAAGGGTCCATCTGCCGAGTTTGACGAATTTTTTTTCAAAGAAAACCACTGAATAAAACATTTCTTGGTATCTAACAGTTCAGACATGAAATTATCAAACTTATCTGCTGGAATAATATATAACAGGTTGTAAGACTACCGCGGAAAGGGTGCAATAAAAGTGTCACTAAGGTGTGGAATTGCGTGTGTGTGGGGGTGGGTGGGTGGGTGGGTGCACGCGAGCGTGTGTCCTGAGTTCAAAAAGCATTCTAGTCTTCTCAATTAGACGATGAGCGTTTCAGGTAGTTTGTTAGCCTCTAATTTTTCCCATAATTGGGTCCCTTACAGATAAATATTATGATCTTTTTAAAATACGTACAATCAATTTCTCGGCGAACCGAAGGCCAAGGAATGACTTGGATGTTTGTAGCGATCGTCTGTACCACAAACGCAAATCTTTAATATACATGTCACAATACACTTCATCCGACCAATAAAGTGGTAGATAAAACTCGACAAACAGTTATTTACAGCGCAAGTTGTACTCCCACCAAACACATCGGTGGATCTGCGACATAAACCGTTGTAGTTAACGAAAACTGTTCCCCCTTTAAACCATCCTACATTAATCATGTATGAAGTTTAACACTTGTGAAGGATATATAAAAGCAAGATTCCTCTTTGTTGTTAAGGTGCTTTCTTTAACCTTCCTTTTAAACTTTTCATGTGGAATTTGAGAATACTATTGTCAAAAACTTATTTAGTTTTGACCTATTTAAAGAGCAACCGAAAACAATGTTCCAACTGAAAAGAAGTTGTTTGTTTGCAATTTCCACAGAAAATTGCCCAGCATTTTTTGAACCACTTTAATTTTTCACTTCTTCAGAGGCAACCAAAGTTATTTGACTCCCGAGGTCAAATTTGAAACAAATAAAACCGATCAGGTGATAAATTTCATACTATAAGCGACAGGACTTTCATTTAACTGTTCTAAGAAACCGCGATAACTTTACGAGAACACGTGACAGTCTCATGGATCTCACGCCCCGCACAGTTATTCGTCCCTGGTGCTTCACGACAGTGTTGGTTATCCTGTGGTACCTCAACTGGGGTGTTAAAATGAGAATGTGTTGGCCATCTTAATACGGTCTGTAACGGTAATTGGAAAGCGGGTACGAATGGCGACGATCATCCTGAGGTACAAACAAAACCACAATTAACAAGTTGTCAATCTAATTGCGCATGCCCGGTAATACTGAGGACAGCGTATAAGGCACATCCGGGATAACTGAACTACAAAGTCGACATGTTTCGGGCGTCCGTAATATTCACCCACTCATTATCTTAGCAATCGTCTTAATAGTGTACTTGTAACTTTCTGATTTATATTCTGAATTCCAGTTAACCTTAGCATTGTTTTAAGCATGCTAACTTTTCTTCTGTTCTTCTTCTGTTCTTTATCATTTGTATATTTATATTAATTACTTTTGTTTACTTGTGAATTTGAATATAATTTGGAGTGCGTACTTTGTTTTTTTTTTTATATATATATACACTGCCCACCTAATCTAGCCTTTGCTATTTGAGGGCAGTGAGAAAATAAAATAATTAAATTCAAATTTACAATTATTGTAAATTTGAATTAACCGATAAAAATGAAATGAAATGATAGGCCATATGTTTATTCAAAAATGACAAATTATTAGCAGCCATACAAGAAGGCTCAGCAAAGTAGTTCAGTTGTAACGATAAGAGGTTAAATTTGATAATTTGGTTTGATCGTTAAACTTACCCTGTTGGGAGGTCCTTGTCGATTGTAATGCTGCTGCTGCTGCTGTCTAGGGTCACGTGACGAGTGTTGATAGCTACCGCGAGAGTACTGAGATTGACTCGACCCAGGTCCTCGAGAGTATGCATTTGATTGTGACCAGTTCCCTTGGTAATTGCTCGAGTTGTACTGGGATCTGTTACCTTGGTAACCCCCTGCATTGTAATAGGATTGGTTGCCTTGGTAACCTCCCGAGTTGTACTGTGGAGCGCGATTTCTGTCATAGATCTGTCGTCTGGGATCATGATTACCACGTGACGATACAGGTGTACCCGGATTGGATCTTGGACGATCAGGGTAACCATGCCTGGAATCATTCTGCGGAGGGCATGAGTTCGACCGAAAGGGCGGCACATAGCTGGCGGGAGTGTAGGGACGAAAAAGATCCCCTTTGTGAAAACTGAGAAAAAAAAGAGAGAAAACGTTGTCATCAAAATGCTACGCTAAAAAGAGAACAAATTATACAGCTTCCTTCAGATGCGATATTAGAAATTTTTAGATTACACCAGGACTGGAGTAGAAACCTTCAAACCACAACCTCGTCCTCAGAGTTAGCCTTCCACGAAGAAGTTCTTTTGGCTCGTCACGCAATCCTGCCCAACGCGTGACGAACCGCTAAGTTCGTCTGTGTGGGGGGCTACAACAGAGTAGCTTGTTGGAAGCTCCAACGTTTAGATAGCGGAGTGCAGTGCGAAGTGAGAGAGCGGGAAAAAAAGGGAGAAAGTGAGGCTGTTTTTTTCCCCTGCTCATACCTTCTCTGCGTCGTTCACACAATCTGATCGCCTGGAACAGGCTATCAGGCCCAGGGCTTTTCCCTTTTTTTCGGGAAAAGCCCTGGGGACGAGATTACACACAAACTTGGGGACCAGGTTTGTGCCTCACATCCACTTAATCTTTAAGTTTATTTTTTGTCTGAAAGAAGGATTTATTTATCACATGCATGTCATAAAATCAGTTGAATCAATAACGCACAGTCACACCATCAGGTACCACTACAGAACAATACGTAAGACATATAAAACACAGTCATCCCATCAGGTGACACAAAAGAACACTAATTATTGAGTCATATAAATGACAGTCACCCCATCATGTACCACTACAGAACACTACTTGAGTCATATAAAGCACAGTCACCCCATCAGGTACTACTACAGACTATTACTCGACTTACTTCAGCATCCGCCGCCCTGCATCACCCAAATGAGCAAACGAGGTTCTGTTAGCGTTCATTCCAATAACTGGTCTGTATGGCCTGTTACTATCATAACCTTCTGGCTTGAGAACACGAGCAGGGGGACTGGTGAAGACAAAATCACAAGCGATCCTTCAGACTAAGGAATAGTTATTGGATCATTATACATTTCTGGGAAACTGCCCACCTACCCCTCTCCTAAGCCAACATCAACACTTACTTGTCACATAGGGCAAAATGTTGGCTTGGGGGAGGGGGCACCCAGCAAGAGTCACACTCCATATATGTCATTGTGTTTTCATTCACGCTTTGCGCGTTGTGCGGAGGGTAGTAATGAACTGAGTTATTACAATACTAATAAATAAAGAATTACATGTAAAACGCGATTTGTAGGACGACTAGCAAACGATCCGGCCTGATAATCTGTAATGCAAGAAATTTTACCGATACTGCATGCGTTAAGTGCAAGTTGCCCCTGGACAAAACAAGTACTGTATGGGTGTCCATAATCGAGCTGTGCACAGAGAGCTGGTCTGACCATGTGATCATCTAGTAATTAGCTCATACACAGATGGAACTCCCTCTAATGGAACTACAGGGGAGATGTTCCACCCAAAAGGGGTAATCCAGGTATCTGAAAAATGGTAGGAATTTAACGAGATGGCAGAAAGGAAAGGGTAAGGAATATTACTATTCAAGCGTTTGAAAGGGTCTTTCAAAGTAAGGCGCATTTGTAAAAGGCACGATCGATGGCTAATTTATGTTATTACTTTAAAAGGTCACACTTAAGGAACACGAGGCAAACTCCCACATTTAATTACAAAAAACCCTTTTGTAGGTTCATGAAGGGGATATTATTTCCTTGGGAAGGTATATAAAGAGGTAACTGTTTATTGACATTTTTGTTTAGAAGGGGAAGGGTTTGGACATCGCAGGAGTAGAGTTGGACATAATGGGGAGGTAAGGGTTGGACATAAGAGTAGGAAAGGGTTTGGACACTGGAGGGTGAAGGGTGTGGACATCGGAGAGGAGGAAGGGTTAGACAGGGAAAGGGAAGGGTTGGACATAAGAAGTGGGAGGGGTTAGGACATTGAAGTGGGAAGAGTTTGGACATTGAGGGGGGGGGAGGGTTTTGGGCATCGGAGAGGGAAGGGTTGGACATCGGGGAGAAGGGTTAGACATAAGAGAAGGGAGGGGTTTGCACATTGAAGGGGGGAGGGGGTATCCCCTACCATGGAATGTTTTTGAGGCCCCAACGAGGTACGTATAGATAAAAGTGTAAGTACATGCAGCATTTAATATATAAAAAGCAAAACAAAGAGGTCTTAATAAATTATCTAACTTTCACTTACTCCGCCTTAGGTAAGACATCCGCCTTAAAAATGTGATCCGTATCATAAACAGGGTCGATAAAAAACACACTGAAAGTGAACAATTCAATAATGAAACAATCAATAATTAGTTTTCAACATTACACTCTGTCAGAAAAACTCATAAAACTGATGAATCGCGTCTGAGTCATACAAGCTATACAGCCTTGTTCCCAGGTTTCTCTCCTAGTCTTACGCTGGAGAACGACTAAGAGAGGGCCCTGGGAGCGAGTTTGACATGCTATGTGGTGTTTGTGTTGTTGATGATATTGTTGTTTACCTGATGGTTCTGTTATCCCTGAGGTCGTAGAGTTGAGGAACGGGCGAAGGAACTGTTCTGAAAAAAACATTGAAGGAAATCCTGTTTATTAAGCTGTCAAATATAGTTTAGTTTGTTTAAGTCTGTGAACGTATCAGAGCTCATACTCTTTAGGCTCTTTCAGTTGAAGGTTGTGCAAGAGACTGGATCGGTGCAGTATGGAACTGCACATTGGGGCTGGTTAACAGACTCCATAAGCAGAGAAACCTAAACAGATTCGCATGGATATGGTCTTAAACCGATGCCAATAAGGGCCTGTTTACATAGAGGTGGAAGACCCCAGGTAGGTGAGGTAACCCGCCTGTCCATATAATCTCCCATTTTAATTTGATCACGTTTACATGATAGGTGGGGTGACCACATAAGAGATTATATGGACAGGCGGGTTACTCCACCTAAGCGGATTACCTCACCTACCTGGGGTCCCCCCACCTCCATTTAAACAGGCCCTAACAGATTCATTTGTCCAATGCTATCATCTAAAGAAAAGCTTCAGCTGCTGAACCTCCAAGTGTGGCTACCTCTCTTGTAAGCGACCACCTTTCCAAAGCACAAAAATATTCCCTGTCAAAACCCTATAGTTGGAACCTCTCATGAATGACCACCTCTGGTAAGCGACCACAATAACTTTTTGAAGTGCTGGTTTTATTATTTTCCGCTGTTTTAACTGTTTTAAACCTCTTGTAAGCGACCAATTGATAAACGACCTGATCTCCATGTTTGCTGTATGCACTATACAACACAGAGCACACAAAGGACTTTTAATGACAATACATGGAGCTACACGTATCATAACAAGTAGATGTGTCCAAACCTCTTCTCGGAAGAGCCCCCATAATGGTTCACTTCTTGTAAATGACCAATAAACCTTGACAATTTGGGTGGTCGCTAATGAGAGTTTCGACTGTAACTCGTTCTTTTTAAAGGTCTTATATTAGTGATCACTTCGTCTTAATATGACCAGTGCATGCAATTCAAGAATTACTCATCTGAATGAACTTACTTGTGAGGTAGGATGGGGCAATCATCGGTCAGTACCTTGCCTGACATACCCCCTGTTAGGTCTGCTACCATGTCGACTGCCTAAAAGATACAACACACCAGGTATGAGCGGTTAAATCTCTGCTGTGAGGCCACCATAGCTCGGGGAAGGTACAAGTGGCTGCTTGTGGCACGGCATCATGGCCGAGAGAATTAGAATACTGGACTTGCTATCCAGAGATCCCAAGTTAAGTCCTTCCTCACACTTGACCACTAGCTGAATTTGTTCTCAGAAGTTCTGAGTTCGGATACTCGGCCATGCTTGTTGGTTTGCGCCATGGTTTGTGTCAAGCAAGAAGAAGCAATCACCTTTAAAAATAGAGGCTTACCTCTTTAATGCCGTCTCCTTCATATAAACCAACGAAGAAGTCAAATGTAGGATTGCCCTGACGAACAAACAGACGATCTTTACCACGACTGTTCCGCCTCTCTGAAACAAGACAAATAAACCAAAGAATGGTTAGCTGGTGAAACGAGTACATCTCAAAGTTTTAAGAAAGTCATCAACATTTACCGTGATGTCACGCAAGACAAAATGAGGTTCCCCAAAAAAGGTGAACTGAAAATTTCAGCTCCGTCACGCTTAAGAGAGGGTTTTGCGAATATGCTACACTAGAGATAATCACTGCTGCTGTTGTGTCATGCTTTAGCGACAGCTTCACACTAAACTTAAGGATTAAGACACCTTCCTAACGTACCACCTGCTATGAAGCATTGTTATTAGAAATGAAATGTTGCACTTCAACTTACTTTCCACGTCTGTTAAATCAGGATATACTCCACTAAGAGCACCTAGCAGTCTCTTCTCGTCAACAAAAGGTAGCAAAGCCACACCTGTGGTGAAAAATACATGGAAGACGTTACTGCTGGGTCCAAGAGAATGCCATACATGTTTCCGCACGCAATATCTCCCGTTCTTCCCCCTTCAAACCACTACTATGTTAACCAATAGCCAACAGCTTAACTACCTCCTGGTAGGTGCGTTTCAAACCAGTTAATTTTATTTGATTGGTGTGCCTGTGTATAAGTGGTGGAGCCAAGTACTGCTTTCACCTGAGAGAGGTTCAAACAATTTATTGTGTTGCGCTGTGTTAGTGCATGTTGCTTAAGTTCTTCAAGGTACCTTGCCAAGCATATTTCTTTCCATTGAGGTCAATCTCAAAGTCCAAAGGATAAAAGTCAATTATTGCCGAATCCTGAAACGCAAAGAGTAATCAATCATTAATAAATCAATCATTCAATCAATCAATGAATATACTATTTAAATAATAAACATCAACGAACATATCAACTAAACAGTCAATCGACCAATAAAATACCGAAATATAAAAATCAATGAGAAAAGAAGACTTTCCACTTACCGGATGTGACATAAGTTCTCTCCATGTGGGAGGCAGAAATTTCCCGCTGGCTGCTGGGAACACACCCATCAACTGCTCCAAGGGTTTGAACTGAAATCAGAGCAAAGAGAAAACGAATCAAAGAACGTTGTAAACATGATTCAGAAGCTTCAGACCTAGAAGAATAAATATTATTCAAACCAACAGGGCAGCTATTTCTGCACATCGAGAAAAAGAGATGGACAAATAATGAAGTGCAAATCTTCAGAATTCCACTATACACATTAATTACACTGCAAGTTGGCTCTTATTTTCTTCAAAGTTACGACATGAGTAGCACGTGTAACACTCACGCCGGAGTAACACGTGTAAAAAAGGCGCAAGTGGCGAGCGATGATGCCTCGTGCCACAAGAAAAGTTTGTTAACCACATTATTTTTTTCCCTCAAATTTTCACTGGTAATACGAACTTGACATATATCAAAGAAAGATGGAAAGCAAGCAGTCTTGTATATAATTGAATAACATTAAATTGAGATTCAGTTACCGGTTGTGTTCCACGTTCAAATGAGTTGGGAAGTGAACCAAGATCACGAAAATCAGATGCAAATGGTGCATAATGATAAGGATAAAACCACTTCCACGATGGACATCCCTGAAGAAAAAAAAGTGATAGTTATTTTATAAAAAGAAAACCGTTAATTTAAGACCCACGTCCTGCCACCTTAAATTTACAGGCCAAAAATTTGTGTCCATTAGTCCTCACGGATGGGGGTGTCCTGTATTGCTTTCCACCCCTCCTCAATGTGAGGGTGTTTTGGCCACTTCTTTCAGTACTATAAACTCAAAATTAATACAAACAGCTTCAGTAATTACTTACCTGATAATAGTAAAGTAAAACCCAGCAGAGTCCTTCTACATAAGCGTCAGCCTTGTCAAAGAAAGAGAAAAGAAAAGAAGGCGGTGTTAAAAATTTCTCCAGCCTTCTCTACCAAATTTTTAACAACATTTCTTGCACTTTTGTTTCCAGTAAATAACAATCAACATAGTGAATCTAGAATGTTACCACTTTCTTCCGGAAATCATCATATCCTTCTTCATTCTCAGTTATATGAAACTTGTTTTGATAATAGCGACCCTTCCAACCTGCTTCCCATAACCTGATAATGAAAAAAATTAGGTACTGTAAATTCTCTATAAAGCCCCCCCTCAAATAAGCCCCTCCTCTAATAACCCCCCCACCCTTTCAGGGAAGAAAGTTAATAAGCCCCCCTCCTCCCCCCTCCCCTCTCCTATAATATTCTTCACTAACAAATGATAAGACTGTTTTAATCAATTATGACTGGAAAACTTCGTGTGGACTGATCCGGGATGGTTTATTTACCAACTGGAAGTTCCGAATTTGATTCTGAAATTCAGCTGCATGACCTCCAACCTTCTTGTTCTTGAGCTTCCCCACTTTGTATTCTAGTTCTTTATGGAGAACCGATACCATAGTCTTTTCTAAATTAAATAAGCTTCCTCTCTCAAATAGCCCCCCTCATATGGGCTTGTAGGATTTACGGTAAGAGGTTAGGGAATAGTCTCGTAGTAAATATGGTCAACACTGTCACTCATAACAGACAACAATAATTTAGAAGCTGGACACCTTACTTAAATGGACTAGAATTTGCCCCTGTCACCCTTGAGTCCTTTGTTTGACTTGCTGTAATATAAACACCCCCCTTAGATGGACACCAAGATGATCAATCAGGCATCTTTTTTGACTCTGTATAAGGTGGACACCTTTCCTGCATGGACACTTCTCTTAGTACTGGTTGCAATGGTATTAGAATAACCCCTGTTAGAGTAAGGGGTTGGGAAATGCTGTTGTAGCGCTCACACCTCATCTAATAAGACAACGAGACAACCAAACACCACAAAAAATCCCTTTGATATCCAGGGGATAATTATATTGCAGTGCATATTCGGCTAATAGCCTGCAGCTAATGTCTTTCTTTTCCTGTTTTTTTTTTTGAAGGGGAGAAAAGTATGCCAACGAAGACGTTCATAAGTCAGCTCGCACATTTACTGAAGAAGGAATACCTAGTATTGCTGACAGTCTATTTGGCCAACTTTACCTGATATCATCTTTTGGTTCATCCTCATCATCGTCATCTTTCTTTCTCTTGTTTGATACAGGAACAGAATTGGGTGTACTTGCAGCAGATGACTACAGTTTAAAAAAAAGTGATAGAAAATATTGGTAAAAATAAATGTAAAACAGGAATTTAAACAAAAAATAAAATAAAGTGATAAGGAAGGTAAAATAAATTTTCTTTTGCATAGTCAATAGAACAACCTAGCTAATTTATGTAAGATTGAAACGATTACAACTAAAATATTTTAAGACTGATTATAAAGATTTGATGCCCAGCAGTATACAAGAACTGAAAATAAAACCATCAAATTTTAAGAAAAATCCCTTAGAGAACAATACAAAGGGAGTTTAGAAAGATACAAATCAGCAGAACAAGTCATCTGATATCCAGAAACTGGGGAGTACATGTAGGTTGAAACCTGAGAACCAAATTTGTGGTAATTACATTGTAAATGACAAACATATTGCGAATAAAAGTTGGAAATCATCACTCTGGTTTGCATTAAACATTAGTCCACTTTGCTCCAGACCGGCAAGGTGCAAATGCTGTTGTGTGGTGTGCAATGCCAACACTGACAGAAACATACTATAATATATGACAAAGACGTTTGTACATCAAACTATTCACTTGTATTTTACTCACCATACTTGCATTTGGAGAAGGAGTAGTGAGCATAGCTCTCAGGTCTGCAGCTGCACTCTACAGTAACAAACAACAATGACTGCAGTTATTATTTTCCAGTATAACTCTGAATAATATGAAGCAGATACCAAGATATAGAGATATTAAAAAAATATACTTTGAAACATCCACTGGATGTGAACTTTTACCTTAACTAATGTCAAATTCAATGTGTGTACAAGGCATAAAGACTATATCATAGTTACTATGCAATTCTAAAGTTAGACAACATTTTTAAATTTCAGATGTACACTTCTTAAATTCTTGATTAAGAGGTATCTACTTCAGATCTTAAGAGCTTAATTCAATGTTCAGCCAAAACCCTCCAAAAAGGCAAATTTGGGGAAAGAGGCAAGTTGTTTGCCATTGAAGAGAGGAGGGTGTTACTGTTAGTAGAGATTTCGTTGTAAATAACTGCTGCATTGCTAAAGCCACTGTACCTTATTTGCCTTATCCTGTGGTGTTGTGTTCCCAGCACTGTAAGACATGGCTTGTTGTCGCATGGCATAAGCCTCTTGGCGGGGAGACACAACAGGCGAGGGTGTGTTAGTTATGATGTGTGGACTAAACTGACCGCTGGGTGTCCATAGAGGTGCATCCTGATATCAAGATCAAAATGTACATCGTATCAAACCTTTCACTCAGAGGCACAGTCAATACAATATTGGTATTGGTTTAAAAAAATGCCCAAAAGCAATAATTTTAATTATTATGATACATGTAGAACTACGTGTAAAGCTGTATGCAGAACTACTATTGTAACCACCAAGGAGACAAAGATTATCATGAACTAGTGTTATATGACATCATAGCCAGACCAAAAACTTAGTATTACTTGGACTTTTAGCGTCTAGACTGAAAACTGTGGTCATAATTATTATAATAACCAAAAAACATACCATTCGCTGTCTTTTCTGTCTCTCCCTTTCTTTGTTTTCCTTGAGACGTCTTTTGTATGCCAGCTATAAAAAAAAAACAAAATCATCTGTTGCAACAAACTTTTACTTACATTGCAACATTATTTTGTGTGGTCTAGAAGGGAGTAAGAGGGGCGAAGGGGAGGAAGGGAGGAGGAAAGGTGGGAAGGTAAGGGGGGAGTGAAGGGGGAGGAAAGGGGGGATGGTGGGGAAGGATACACCCAGCAACTAAGTAGTAAAACCACTAGGAGCACTTACAGAGCTGTATTACAAATGTATTACTTCACATACAAGTTCAAGTACAAGTTCAAGTACGTACAATGGTCATAAAAAAGCTATTAACTCACAACCATATCAACATGTAAGCAATATTTTAATATTTTAATCTGTCACAATTTATTCAAATTTAGAGTACTCACATCATTTGCCTGCCTCTTCTTAAAAATCTCATCTTCAACATAACCAAGCTCTAAATGAACACACAGGTTTGGTCACTACTCTAATAACATGCCAAAATACACACCATACATGCCAGATGGGTTACAAATCTTGAATAAAATTACATCGCATTACACCTGTAACTATGTTTTATTGACCAAGAAAAAGGTCAAAATGGCTGGACATTGGACACAATGCCAATCCATTGCAGGGTTATCCCAGCAGTACAAAATGTTAATTACTGATACCTATTTACTCACTGGGCTGGTAAAGAAAGATGGAGTGAAGCAATTATTTTTGTCTTAGAAAACATCATGATGGCAAGAATCAAACTAAGATCCGATCCTTGAAGGCTTGATTGATAGATATGATGAATACTTATGTTATTATTATAACTAAGCTTATCAACTCTTTCTACACACCTTGAAGAACCATTTGAACTCGATTCAAATCAACAATTCCATGTTTTGCGAGATAACCCTGTAAATAGATTAAAGTATGCATTATGCATTGTAAATTTAATACCTACATTTAACTTGCACAAGTACACTGTAAGCACATTACAGAGGTGCTTTATCATAAAGGTAGTGATTGTACAAGACTTAATTCCTGCCTGTCTGTTGAACAAGCAGCACCCACATTCATATTGCTTGCATGCTTGTTTGCATGCTTGCATGCTTGTTTACATGCTTGCATGCTTGTTTGCATGCTTGCATGCTTGCTTGCAAGATGCCTTGCCTGGACCCTAGCCCGCTGTGTAAGCGAGCTTAAAAAACTTCTTTCTCAACAACAATGAAAATAATGATGACAATCTACAAGAATATCCATTGTTCTCACCCCACATCTTGGTAAAACTCTCTTGTAAATCCCCACCAGTCTATCAATAGCTCCCTCTCTGGAGAAAAACAACAAAACTCATGAGGGTAACTACATGCTGAAAACAGCAGGGGACTAAAAAATTGCTTTAAAAATACTGATAAAACAAAATGATACAACATGAAGGAAATGCACGGCATGAAAGTAGTTTTGAAGTTCAAGTTTCACTTGAATGGTTGCAACCTATGTGTAGAATTACATTACAGGTTCTAAAGCTAAAATGTACATACAGTACAATTTTATTACAACAATAATATTTTGGCATTTTACCTGATTTCTAGTGAAGGTAAGTGGGGAAGGAAATCATTCCCTACAAAGAAGCACATGAATACCCAGTCATCAAGACAGCGCTAAACAAAGAACACATCATTAGTACCAGTTAGGTTTCACGCACAAAATGGCACAATAACAAGTGCCAAAAAAAAAATATCATATCACAGTACAAGAGAGCAAAGAGAAAGCTGGTTTAATCTAAATGCACACATAGAGATGTCAATAAGATCCCCCCTAGTACCCCAAACACATATCTATAAACAATTTCTTGAGTACCTCTGAGTATGAATATTTCATGAACTGTTCAAGCCAAATCAAAGACAGACAAATATTGCATTTGGCTGCACAGCTTAGTTTCAAAGTTATCAAAAATTAGTAGCGCTTTCAGGAAAATCTTACCTCAAAGCTATACGGAAAAGGAAGGCCTTCCATTCTAAGTTCACGTTCAAGGTACTGTGAAGTAAATAATAGTATTTAAAGCGATAACTTGTACATGTCTTTGACATTAATTAATTTACTTTTGATACAAACTTACAACTGTAGCATTAATTGAAAATGGGGGGAAACAACACATTCATTTCTTTGTTTTCAGAAACAAAGATTATTTTATTTTCTCTGCTTTTCATGTGACTCAGACACAAATTTTTATGCAACGCACAGCTAAGCCACAAATTTCTCTAAAATAAGGCACAAAGCTGAAAAAAGCTCTTGACAGAGTTCTGTAAGTGATTGAAAGATCAGGTACAAAATCAAACCAGTTTTAACCGATAATTAAAGAAAATAATCAAAATTGCATATTCACGTACAGGTAGACCTTTTAATATTCTCTAGTGATAAACATTTAATTTTTTACAGTAAATTATCCTACAGTATACGCATAATAATTATATATACTTACCTCTCTAAGTACATTAAGCCTGATGAAAATAAACTCTACTTCTTGAGCCACTGGTGCACTTAACTCATCAAACTGTTGATTGAAAAATCATAACAGATCAATTTAGTACAGTGTTTATACCATGAGGATATTTCAAGCTTTGGATAAAGTTCTTGATCACCTTCGTTGTCCACTTATACATGTAGGTGTCTCTTAATTAGTATAGGCGGAGATTGGGGACCCTTAGCATTTACAAAGCTGTTTGCATCACTTGTCAGTCACATAGTTGGTTTATTTTATCACCCGGGAGAGTATACAACAAACCAACTATGCAATTGACAAGCAATGCAAATGACTTCGTAAATGCTAAAAGCCATGCAAGAGACAAGCCTATGCTCGCAGGGTAAGGTTGGGGGGGAGGGAGGGAGGAAGACTTTGGATAGTGGGGGTTCAAACTGCCAACCTTTCATGGCAAATAATGGCAAGATACATACAATAATTACTTTTTCTGGAAATTAAAAAAACAGTTAATACATTATATATACATGTACTGTAATGTGTTATTACGTTCCTATACCTAGTAGCCTGTTCCAGGCTTTCAGATGGTGGGGAGCAAGATACTGTAAATCATGAGCAGCAAACACAAAAGGAAAACAAGGGGAAAAAACTGATGTGACACTGGAGTGAGGGGAAATCTCTCTCCATTTTTTTCCCTAGTCAATTTTTCACCCAAGCTCTACCATCTGAATGCCTGGAACAGGTTATCATACTAAATGTACCCATGAAGTGACAGAGACAGTCCCACAATAAAAAATCACATACAGCACCACTGAGAAGTAAGTTACCAGTCGCATCTCATTTTCTACCCGACAAGAATCGCGTTGCATGCCACACGATTCTTGTTGCATGCTACTAGAATCGTGTAGCGCAAAAATCATTGAAGCAGCATGTCTTCAGTGTAATTTATACCCAATGCAACCAAGCTTTATTAAGTTGTGCTCACCTCTCCTTGTTTTTCCTTTGGAAGTCCCATACATTCATCCATGACGTGCCCTACAATATACAAAAATAACCCTTAAAAACAGTTCACAAGAAATGTATACAGGCCAGTATGTTACGGTACAGTACTTCTATCTTGTACCTATTTGCCCACAGATTTCACATGGTTTCTTCTGGTTTGGTTTGAACTCTTCTCTGATGATTGTAAAGTGAAGTTCATGAGTTGCAAGCCCTGTGGATCAATACAAATAAATAATCAGTGATCAATCCACTTCAGTACATTTCACTGTACTAGTGGACAGTAGATTCAACTTATGCCTTTATGAATGGGCTGTATTTCTTCTTGGGCTAAAAATGTGACAGTTGTTTGCTCCAATGCTTTTCTTTAGAAGATGGAACAGGGAAACAATGAAAATCCATAAAATATGACCTCTAATGAACTGCTTTTTTCTCCTTAAAAATACAGTTGTCTCTTATTTTGCTTGCAAAACAAAAGGAGAATTCTAAGTACATCAAGAATTCCTTAAGAATTATACACTCTTCAGTATTAGCACATTACTTCGATAAACAGCCTGTATACCTGTAATTATTAGTATAAATCTACTTACCAAGCATAATCAAGTCGGCTGAAAGAAAAGTAAATATATGTACATTTGAGTATTAATATAACATGGTAAAGCCAGCTACATGTATTACCAGTACATACATTTGGGATTATTTTCCATTATGTATGATTTCTTGTTATAGACAGCAAGGGTTTGGCACAGTCGTGCAACATTAAAATATATTTCAGCACACTAATGTTAACAAAACAAATTATTAATAGTTGTTTTAGAATTCTGTCCATAAATATTCAAATGGTATGAAGTTTAATCATTGCAACTCATTCTTATCTGGGTAATTTTTAGTAGTGAATGGAATGAAGAAAATAGAATATAAGTAACAGAACATCATACACTATATACCACATACCATCAGCTCCATTTAAACAGTGCTTTGTGTTAGGGTCATGATCAGGACTTGCTGAAAGAGAAAAGGTATGTGCAAAATAATCCTCAGCTTATATAAAGCTTATATGAAATCACTACCAGAAAAATCTCCACACCATAAGAGAAACAGGGTCAAAGGAATAACAGTTTATTATAATTTATCATACATGTTGTAAATTAATTAAATACACAGGTAAGATTGTTTATTCTAGTAACCTCTCTGCTTTCTGATGTAGTCCATGATCTTATGTTCACCCTCTCCTGGTACATTAGCATCTGATAAAATAACCTAAAAATACATCAATATTAACTTAGATCAGATTTTAATAAAACTTCTGCATTAGTTATTCTGTACTTCTCTCATTCTAGCTACAAAGTTATCATCATTTCAGCCAAGCAAAAAATTACATTAATTCCTCGACTTACAACTTGAGTCTCAAAATTCAGGAAGTCTTGTCTCAAGACTTGAGTTGAGACTCAAAATTCTGAGAATCAATAATCAAGTATTGAGTCTTGACCCAGAGATAACAGTCAACTAACACTGTACATTTGGTTAATACAGTACCGTACTACTAGATTTATGGCATTTTTTAAATCAAAGATACAGGAATATCAGAGGCGACTGTAACAACATGTTCAATTGACAAAAGGACACTTTATACTGTTTTAAAGTCATGCAGATTGATCAAAATGAACAATAGTCATTTCTTAAGAGCTACAAAAAAGTGTGCAGGCTAAAAAATGATAAGCACAAGCATGCTAGAATAAGATATAATGAATGTGAAAATTCTTTTGTGCTACAGTGTGCATGTACATGTACCAGTGAACACCATAACATAGTTGTATTTGAATGTAATGTACCTTTATATTCTTCCATCCAGGATCATTGTTTAGCCGGTCAGCAATGTAGTATCGCAAGCACACTGACAAGTTGTCCATAAATTCTGTTCCCTATTGACAACGACAGAAAAGTCAGCAATTATCAGTCCTCATTCAGTTCTCAGAATCATCACCACGAGATTTAAATAATTTTTTCTAATAATTCCTTGTGTGGTCTGCTATTCTTTAAAGAGGCCTAAAATATTATACTTTTAAACCCACTTAGAACAGCATGCATTTATTGCCAGTATACATGTATATGGTACATGTGTGTCTAATGCTTCACATGTACAACGTACAGTGCGTATGTAGCAGAATCCTACTAACAGTATATCATCATAATGGCATTAAAATTAGTTATTTTATTTTTTATCAAATAGAATTCTCAAGAAAATTCCCACTTACAGGTGTGATACAGTTGCTGTCAAAGTGTTCTGTCTTTTCTTTTTCGGGTGGTAAAACAGCTCCTACACAAGAACGCAAAATAATTTACAATATTATGGTGATCACACATTCTTTTTAAGCACTGGTTTGGTTCTCAGTCAAAGGTATAATGGACAATAAAACCAGCACTTGCCCGGCAGTTTATACCACCTTTCCTGTTAACATCTCAAGCTGATCAACAGTGCAAAAGAAACTCTACCTTTCTCCTTCAGTTCACTTCGTATCCGAGCAATATCTTCAGCTTTTTCCCTGCAAAGTAAACACAAAGGAATTCTTACAGATGCAATACACAGTTTGTATCCATGTAGAGCACAGTGTATCAGTGCTTAGTACCGTTTTATCCAAGTCTTAACTTTTGATTCCAAGGCAGACACAAAATTCTGTTCAAATACTGCCTTGTGATTGCAACCATGATCTTGACCAGTGCAACACTATGACAGTGCTAAGGTCACATACACTTTTCTACACAAGACAACAAAATGTGAGTCATACTGTAGACTCATTTAAGTTGGGACGTTTCTCCTGCTACAAACCTTTAACAATAAGAAGCACCAACAGTGCTGAATCCAGACCTTGAGACCAAATATTCACACGCAAATTCTCCAGACTGATCTCAATACATTTCCTTTAAGAATTAGTTGGGAGAATTTGATAACAGATCAAAGCATTTTCCCTTTCGCATCACTTTAGCTTTTCTCTTAGTGATACAAGGATATTGTTAGGAGAACATAATTGATGTTGGTTGCTTGTGAGACATAAAGCAGTTCTAGCAGTGCCTGGTGGCCTGTAGCATCTAACTTTTGCCCCTGGCTACTAGAAAATGTTAGTCTTTTTCATAGAAATCCTATGCTGGGCACCCTGGATTTCACTGGTTCAGAGCACCAGGCTCCCTTTGATTTTCCTTAGAGCACAGCCTTGGGGTCACAATTAAGGGTTAACAAATAGCAAGTGTACTTACTTAGATTCCTTGGATGCTCTGAAACGACGTGATCTTTGCTGATTCATTTTTGCTCTTGGAGCCTAAATAAGAAAATTACTATCAAATTATTATGAACCACATGCATAATAACAATTTACACATGTATTTGCAGTAGGTAAGATATATACACAGGGAGCTAACAGCACCAACATGTGTTTGAATATTGGGCTTTTGGCAAAATTTTTCAATGATTTTGAATGCACTGCCTTACTGGCTAAGCCCTGTTTTAATAACTAGCCTTCTTTACTACAGTTTGTCTTACCACTCCATCAATGGCCATGTAAAGTAGCTTTCTTGGTCTCACAATTGAAAATATTCTAAAAAGACAAATACTTATTTTAGACTACAACTGTAAATGTATGAAAAAGCAGAGTAAAGCATAAAGAAAAAAATTAATGGACAAATGAATTTTTGGAACAAAAAAACATGTTTTAATACTGCTATGTTTACATAATTATTACTCAACATTGTAACAAGATAATCTCCAAGGGAAAAAGGTCAAACTGATTTCTTTTTAAAAAAATCACCTATTATGCAGGGGAATTACCTGTCAATATATTCAAAAATTGCTACCATCATCTCATCTTCATTCTTGGGAGCAGGCCTGGTGACATAACAAAAAGGGGGGTCACTTAAAAAAATGCAAGATCACTAAATAGCATGCGAAAATAGCCATCTACCCTTGCTCCTTGCTGCTCGGGACGTTTTGCCAGGAGAAATGACTGCACCTCAGTGACAGAAATTGCATATTGATGCATAAATCAATGTTTTTTTAAATTAATCTGGTGGTCATAAGTTTCAAAGTGAAATTTGTTTCATTTGAGGTTTATCCTGTTTGATTTTGGTAAAGTTTTGTTTTCTTCTGCGAACGAGCTCTAGCAAAACTCACATGCTTCTTCTAAATATATTCCACAAAGGTTGACTGTTTTGTAATAGATTCACCACATTTACATTTGACTATCATGGCCTTTTGTCTGTCATTCGTAAACAATAGCTAAAACAATATAACTACTGCATCGATCAATCAGAGCTCCTGACCATATTCTGAACAGATTTAACGTCATCAGTGCAGAATTTCTGTCTCAAAGGTGCAGATCTCTCTCGTGGCAGAAAGTTTGGATCAACAATATTTTGGTTTCTGGGAAACTGTCCTCCTACCCCTCCCCTAAACTAACATTATCACTTACTTCTCACTAAGGGCAAAATGTTGGCTTAGGGAAGGGGGTAGGTGGGCAATTTCCAAGAAACTTAAACTGATCCAAAAGTTCCTAGCAGCAAGGAGCAAAGGGATCATAAATTGGATCATTACAGCTTAGACATCTGAGTTAAATTAAAAGACTGCAATTACAATAATACAAACTGATTTTTGCCTGAAAGACTGTAAAAATCATCTACAGGTAATTAGTAAAGCCTATTTTTATGTTCTTACTTGTTTTCTGGATGGCAACATGGATGGATGATACCATTCATATCAAGGTACAAATTGTCAAACTCATAATCATTTGGATTTGGTAAACTTGTATCCAGTGGAACTTTTACACCATTAACATCACGGTTCTATGAAAAGAAAGCTCACAACGATGAAAACATATCTGAGAAAATAATTCCGCTTAGATCTTCTTATGACGTATTACAAAGTCACACCAACAGATTAAGATCGAAACAGAATGACCAATTTTACCGGCGATAAACGCAAGAAGGCACGTGGACAAAAATTTCACTTACTTTTTCCTCAACGCAGTGGACCACTATCGATGCATATTTCTTCGAAAGCCAGCGGAAGAAAGCTGGAACTCCCATCCCTTCGTCTTAAAAACGGGTGATTCACGGCAGTTGAGAAGGGATAAACTAAAAATTATCCTGGCAAAGACTTGAAGGTTTGTGTTCCAATATGGCGGAAGTTACTTTCATTTGGTACCCGCTGACCAGTTATTTCGCAATTCTGTATCTCCTCCCCAGTCTTCCCTCCCGTCCTCTCAAAGAAGAAGATGCACTTTTTGCATCGATCGGGTTGATCACGTTAGTGTGGATGTCTTATAATTTTTTCTCATGATGTAGGTATGGCTGGAAAATACAAAGAGAGACGTGAAGGAACAGTTCTCTGATACCCACAAAGAAAGTAGTCAATTAGGGACCCAACCCAAGGGATTGGATGGTTGCTATGGACACCAGGTCCAGATTGTAATACTGGTAGAGGTCCAGAGGATGGGAGGGAAAGAAGAATAGAAAGGGACAGCTTGAGCAAGCAGCGCACATTCTGCGATGCTATTGCTGGTTTCCTTGCAAAATAATATCTCAGGAATAAGTGTGCTCATTCCTCAGACTTAACTTTAGGGAAAACCATTGGGTGGCATCAGAAAATGTCAAGAGCTTTCTCTGGCTACCTGAGCATCAAGCATTTCTGGAGGAAAGAGAAGAGAAAAAAAGGGAGGAGATCTGGAAGGGAAGGAGAAAAAATCTCCTCTCTCCTGTAGCACCCAAGAAGGCCTGATACTCAGGTTAAGAGAGGAATGTTGTAGTTAATTTTTTACCTCAGGTAATTTTTATTTTACTTTTGTTTCAACTTCATAAGCACACAGTACCATACCCAAAAAAGCTTAGAAAACAAACTAATTTTTTTTTTTTTAACAGAACTTTGTGTCATACAATTCTGGGGATAAATAGACTACGAGTAGTCCCCCATTTTTCCTCAGGGATAGTAGAGCGAGCGAAATGCGAGCACGCGTGGAAGTCACCCCACGTGAGAAAAGGTGACACGCCGTCTGGGGGATAAAAAACTTTTGGACTTCTAGCATACCTTTGCTCAATTTTGCTTAATGAGGGGGGTGTAAGGGTTTGCAGTGATGTGGTTGTACTTGATTTTTGGTGCAGTTTTGCAGAAATTTTTATTTTCATTTGCTATACTGTGGTTTTACAAAACCAAGTGGTTTGCGATATTTAGAAATTTTCAGGTAATTTCAATGTGGTTTACTGTTTGCTTATGTTATTTTGTGCGACATTTAGACATTTATCTGTGCAGTTTTTTGGTGTTTATACCCCCCTTACACCCCCCTCCTTAATCACTCAAATGATTAGAGACCAAAACTGTCTGCCTTCAGTCCACTGGCTCAATCCATTCAACCAAAATATTTGCCAGACAGAATTTCCAAAATTCTATGGAGTTGGATGGAATATAATCATTGACTTTTTTTTGTTTTACGCCTCTTAAACAACAAATTTCACACTCTGGGACAGTCAGAAAGAACCAGTCCTTTCACTTTTGGTTTGGTTGAATCGACCACAACAAATATCAACAAAATGCTATTAAGCAATTTGTTGAAATAAGCCGATAAAAAAAATATTAGTTAACTGATAATTTGATGTAGTTTGTTTGACATATGGTTTATGTGTATGACAATAAGTTGATGTCATAGTTTCCATCAATGTCAAATCGCCCAATGACTGTATCATGTTTCGCAGATTTCAGCTCATGTATCTCTGCCCACAAATGTTGAATGTTCGAAGCGACATTGTCAGAATTTGGACAGTTTGGTGATGATTTAATTCCCACTTGATTGCGACAAGCAACTGACTGAAGCCAATCTGGAACCAATGCAGAGCTGGTGATTGCCGGTGGATAACATTGCACCTCATCAATGCCAAAACTATTCCAATGAGGCGACGGTTGTTTCAGAATCAACCTCAACATTATAACTTGAGATGATGACTTGGTAATATCACTGATAGATATTGAGAAACGATCCTGGCTCCCCGTTTCGAAATGAGGATGAGGCATAAGCGTGTAGTTCTTTACTGCAGTTATCCATGTTTCATTGCCTTCACCGTTCAAAATCTTTAGTTTGATCGTGATAGACGCAGTGTAGCAGTTTTTAAAAGTCAGCTTCCCCAATTCTACACTGCTGTTTCCCGGGAAAATAACGTCAACCACAGCAACACCAGATTTAAAATTATTGTTTGCAGAATCTCCAATTTTCAATGGTACAGGTTTCTTTACGATACAATTCAAAAGCTTTGGTTTTGACTGAACGTCGGCCGCCATTTTGGATTTTTCCTTCGAATTCGAGACGGACTAAGAACCAGTGAAGATCAATTCATTCCCAGGGCCCGCTCATCAAAGTCCTACCTTTGATTTATTGTAAGATTGCTCGGTAGGTTTTTTCAGGGTCAATACCCCCCAAGTTTGAGCATAAGCTACGTTGTCATCAACTAAAGTTTGGAAAAATTACAACCACAGCTGTATTAGATAAAGATGAAAATTAATGTTCTGATCAGGTTTACAATGACATTGGAGTTGTCATAGCAACGAAATGACGTCTTGACCTATTTTACTTGCAGCCGTACTTTTTCGGCACCGGGAACTGATCTTCCTAAATCGTTCAAGGGAGCTTTTTCCTCTAGTAGCCGCGTTTGGGTTCGTGAAGTCCTTTAAGCGAAATCTGTAAGAGCGTTATCAAGGTATTTTGGGATTAAGGTTTTATAGAAATATTGTAAAAACTGGGCAAGCATGATGTTCGTTATCGGTAGAAAACGAAGCGCTTTTGAAGTGCAATTTCACCTCATAGTAGTTTCAATCTTTTTTAAAACGTATGTGAAGCATCATGGAAATAGCACTAGCCGATTTCCAGAAAGAAGGATCATTAGTATGTATCGAAGCGCTCTTGTTGGCGGTTTTGTAAACATTTCGGTCCACTTTAACAAATAAGCGAATAATTTTGAAACTGCTCGATAGATTATTTTTGAAAATTAAAAGATTCTCGAGATTAACCGTCGTTTTATATGACCTTTGCGTTTCAAGATTATTGATATCTTGTAAGGCATTAAAATAAGGGCTACAATTGGTTAATTTTTGGTCGGAAATTTCGCGTTTACAAATAAGAGCATCTCATTATTCACGTGTATTATCTCCTATTGTCTCTTAGGCAGGACCAAAAGAGAGGCGGAAATCGAGCCTAAGCTAATGAGGAAGTAGTTTATGCTCAAACTTGGGAGATATTGACCCTGAAAAACCCTATCGAGCCACTTTAAACAAGAGTGCATGCAGTTTTTCCTGTGCAAAAGTTTTAGTATTAGCTGTTACGTCAATGTCCTTCATCCTTTCCCCTCTAAGGCTAAATGGAAGATAACTTGAGGAGATTTGCAGTGAGGTAACGGGCAGCCTTAAGCCATAAAATGGGCAAAAGTTTTGGTCGTTGGGCGTGTAACCTGGAAATGTTTGACCATTAAGACGTAAAAGAGTGAAACATGAAAAACGTTTTCAAGCCACAATTTGTCATTTAGAGAGTCAGATCGCTTGTTGACTTTGTGTCTTGTCTGGTGGCTGATAGACACTATTTCACCCAGAAATATCCTTAGCGTCCTATAAATTTTAGAAATGTGTTTTGCAAGCAGGGGAATTAAATTTGAACTTTTGAAACCATTGATTTTTATCAGAAAAACGGTGAGGAATTAACTATATTAGTCGTAAAAAGCAAATATTAACTGTTACCCGAACTGTTTCCACTCCATTGAGATACCATCTTATTCCAGAGGGCTAATTTCGCTTACAGTAAGAAAGACTATTAAATACCACAAGTTCTTTACTGGCTTTAAAAGATTCTTTTTCTAAAGATTAAGAGAGGAGATAAAAGCACATTAAGCACATTGTCGCGTGCTCTTTGCTCGAAAGCGAGAATATTTATAGTTTATTAATCCAAGACGGTGTTTTGACAGCTGTTAAAGCTTGCTCTACGAGTTTGCGTAAAGTGCGCGGCAGGAAAAACTGGGTAATTAACAACACTTTTATATCCATGACAGAGCATTTTCCATCCAAATACATTTAATATTTTACGCCATTGAAGTACGTGCAAGCTAAAAAACTGTGCAAAAAACATAGGCCCGCAATACGTACTCGAGTTCGTATAAGAATGCAGCTTGAATAAATTCATTTTTAGCATGAGGAGAGGAGAACTCAGTTGTTGCAGTCTAAATGTTAAGTCCAAAATAGCTTTTAATTTGTTTTCTTTTTTTAAGCTTGCGATTCCTTTTTTATTTTTACTCCTCCAGACTAACTTAGAGACTGGACCAGGATGTTGAGTTAAAAAGAACATGCCCTTCGCACGGACTAATGTGATACTCGTCTTAAGGCCCTGAAAGCGTATTCTACAAATACTTCCACTCCAATTTCATGGTCAGAATGTTGTGAAAGATTGTTTTTGGACCGTTATAGAATCAGTGTAAGTGACCTTTGGTTACGTTTTTAAGTATTAACTTAAAACTCTCTTGATTTTATCTTATAACTTGCAAATAGGCTCTATGATCTCGGCACCGTTGACTTAAATCGTTTTTCTCACTCAAAATAGAAACTCTAGACAGTGTTTATTACAAAATGACACAAGCAAAAGATTAACATCTTTAGTCATGCGAGCAATGCGAAGTTCAGTTCTTTTCCGCATCTTCCATCGCACATAGCGTGAGTGTTTCCCAAACTAACAGAGACACACACGAAGTCGTGTGCCACTTTACAGTATCCTAAGATAAGACTACATTTTAAGTTATATCCAATATTTGAGCCTCAGCCGTCTGCCGACAAAGCAATTACGTATGAATCTGCTTTAAATAAGTACTTTGTTCAGTAGTACTTCCTTGAGGTACTGTTTTGATGATAATTCTTTTATTCAAAGTTGTCCTATTCTTACATTGTTTTCGCCTTTGCACTAAAGGGATCCTCGAAATTTCGAACCCCTTATAGTAATCTTTGCTCGGTAGCGTATTGAAATGAAGTTAAGGTTTTGAAATTGCTTCCCAGTTTTCAACTGGATTACACGTTCAGATCAGACACTTAACGACAGCTTTATTTAATAAAACCCGTTTGTTTCAAGATAATTTGGAAGAAGAGGGTCTTTGAAATTCGGTGGTGG